GTGTGAAGAAGAGGTGGCCGGGCTGAACGCGAACGAGGGCGCTCTTTCGCTACTGAAGGAGGTCGCTGCTGGCCAGGACAAGCTGCTGAGTGACACGGTTGTCAAAGTCATTCAATCCACCACCACCTATACCAACAGTGTGGTGTTTTCGGGACCTAACTCGGGCTTTCAGATAGGGAACAATTCCGGCAAGATTAGTGGGGTTCGCTTCGGCGGTTCCTAGTAAACAGGGGGATGCAGTCTGAACAAAACAGACAGGTCGAGGCACAATAGGATATCCACCACCAAGCGAAGGCAGAAAATAATAGATGAATCTGGCTAAGAAGACCGCTTCATCGCGCAAGATCCCTATTCCTCTGAGAGCTCCGTAGCCTCTAGAGTACTTGAGAGGTATATCTCCTAATTTCTTTTATTACTACTTACTACCTAGTGTAGACTAATAGGGTTAGGACAATTCGTATTTACCAAAGGGGCGTTGTTTTCGGCAACCGCCCTCTTCTAGTTTAGCGCCTGTCTCGCCAGACCCTGATACAGTTTAGTGCCTACTGTATCAGGCTTAGCCTATGGTACTAATCCCCAAAGCGGAACCGCCGCCTTGCACTACCTTAAGTCACTCCCTCTCAACTAACTATATAAGAGCGCCAGTGTGTCGCTTCATAGTCCCTCCCTCCTTTGTCTACTACTACCCTTACAACTTTTATTTTGTATATAGGTTGCACGGCCCACGGCCCCCTCTGATCCCTGTTACATCCAGAAATAAGTACTCAGCCCCTTCTCTTCTCCCCCCCCTCTTCAGCGACCCCGACTGGCTCAGGCAGCTAGTTCATTCCACCAGCTTGAGGTAGCAAGTCACGCGTGGACTAATCCCACTAGGAGTCACATCATAATCACTGCTGGTCAGCCTGCTATTCACAATGCATAGCCCTCACACAGATTCTAATGGGGCAGCTGGGCCTCCTTAACAATAGTTGCCTTTTTCACACTGGGGCACTTCAGCTAAACAGTGGCTCCAGTTCACATCTTCCATCCTGGGTAGGACAACCTGTACGCCAATAGCAGAAATGCCTCATCTTTAGAGGATGGCATTACAGGCCCATTTATGGCGTCATTATCACTCCACAACACAGCGCTTTCAACAATTGGCAGACTGGATTAGTATGGTTGCATTCAGACTTTGACCAGCAAGGGACACCTGCCACAGAATTATAATTACTCCACTAACTGTAAGTTCTGCATTGTATAACTTTAGATTTTCTTCCATTCAAAGGCCCCTTCATCTGGAAATAGTGAAGCAGTGGGCTGATTTCAGCCGATCTGTGGGAAGCGACCTTGGGGTGTTTAGACTTTTGTAAGAGATGATAAGTTAGTCTAGTCTCCCAGTGTTGCCTAGTACTAATCTAGTTGTGATTCTCAGAGCTGTAAGGATTTTGTTCTTTTACTTATAAATAACTACCCCCTCTTATTATTTTATATTTAAGTGAACCACCCTTGCCTACCTTTTTCTAGCATTAGCTTCCTACGACCCTGACCTGTTAAAAACAAAAGTCTATCCTCTCTAAAGATCTTATGAAGTCATAATTAGCCTTAATAATATTAATTTCTACTATTATCCCCCTCCTCCTAAACCTCCTGTGTATACTTTGTCATCTTCTAGCTAGGGGTTATACTATATACTCTCTGCTCCCTAGTCCCTTCTATTTCTAGATCCCCTTTTATATCCTCTTCCCCCAAAGCCTCCTACTGCAGTAATAGCTATTATAAGTTCTATAATTAAGGGCTACTTCTAATGCCCTACCCCTTGTAATATATTTAATATTAAGCTTAAGAATATCTTAACCTAAGGAAACAGCCCTGTTATAAGAGAGACTAACTTAGAGGTAGACTATAAAAGTAGGTTCTAACCTATAAATAGCCTTAGTAATTAGTATAAGAATACTTCTCCTAGTCTTAGTATATAGGTAATATCTATAATAGTATTTAAGGACTCTCTGCTAATACTTAATATAGTAATAATATTAGAGCTTCTAGTTATACTAGCTTAGGGTTGTTATTTTTGCGGCTTGGGCTGGGTTCTCCTATCTTTCAAACCTAGCCCACCGGGTTCAGGTCCTAGAAATCTAGGACCTGGCAGATCTTGTTTAACAGCATACGCGAAAGGCGACGATCGGCGGCTGATTTGTTGTTGCTTATGAGTTTCGTCGACCGGCAAGGGATTCCTGAGGCGCTTCTTCAAAGTTGAAGTGAACAGCGACACGTGGAGCTGAGTAATAGCAATGATGACGATGAAGACAATGATGATGACAATAACAGTCAATCACAGTCTAGTGTAACTGAAGAATTTAAAGACCACATTCTTATGCTGCGCAGATACTCCTTAATCTCTATTAATGCGGACTAAAGGACGTTTAACATGCAGGGCCTGGTGTAGCTTGCGATGCGAAGCTGGTTAGAAGTGCATGGCGAGCTGAAAAAGTAGATACAGCAGTATATCCAGAACCTGAATGCGAAATTCCCTATAGGAGAGTACAAGAATTAGGCGCAGTGTCAAGTGCTTTACCCACATATAAAGTCGGTGGCCAGCCAGCGTCCCCATGAACGCAACTCAATAATGGAGTGGGCTGCAGTATTATTCAAGGCCGCATGGTATGACTGGCAAAAAGGTAGTAGGGCTGAGGGGGAGAGACTGTTGCTTAAAGCAATGGAAGCTCAGATGAAATATCTAGGTCCAGAACATGAAGATACACTAGAGAGTGTAGGAATGGTGGAGGTAATTTACCACCGTTAGGGTCGATGGAAGGAAGCGCAAGAGGTGTTTCTGCAGGTGATAAAGATAAGGAAGAGGGTACTAGGTGCGGAGCACCCTGACACTCTAGTTAGTATAGGTAACCTAGCGTCAACATGCAGCAATTAAGGGCAATAGAAAGAGGTAAAAGAGCTGGAAGTATAGGTGATGGAGGTAAGGAAGAGGGTGCAAGGTGCAGAGCACCCTGATACTCTGGCAAGTATGGGCAACCTGGCATCGATATATAGTAATCAAGGGCAATGGAAAGAGGCGGAGGACCTAGAATTACTAGTAATAGAGATAAAGAAGTAGGTGCAAGGTCCAGAGCACCCTGACACTCTAGTTAGTATAGGTAACCTGGCATTGACATACAGTAATCAAGGGCAATAGAAAGAGGCAGAGGACCTGGAATTATAGGTGATGGAGATGAGGAAGAGCATTCTAGGTGCGGAGCATCCTAAATACTCTGACCAGCATGGCCAACCTTGCCTATACCTGGAGATTTCAAGGAAGGTGTACAGATGCCTTAGCCTTAATTCAAGAATGTTGTATACTGTGCAACAAAGTATTGGGGCATAATCATCCAGATGCCAGAGAGTCCTATTGCACTCTTCTTAGCTGGCAGGAGGAACATAAATTGTTCCCAAATCAAAACTTTCCCCCCGCTCTACCTCAGATTGAATAAACAGAGCATCTGCAGGAGGCTCAAGCACAGCACATTACAGTTGCGATAATGGCTCAGCCGCCGAGCCCACAGTTAACTAAATCGCCTCACAACCAAAGACGACTGGGACCAGGACTCTTCCTTTGGAAACCCCTACTTATCATAGCTTCCAGAGGACCTTCATCGGTGTGGGGAAGCCAAGACTTACAAGAAGTTGATTGATTTGAGTTGCAGTTTATGATGGATAACAGCAGAACAATTAGTCGCTGAGATGAGGAGCTTTAGCCTATGAACACATGATATGTATTTGGTATTAAAATATCCATTTCTCAAGTATCCGGCCCAAGTAGATATTTAACGCCTTCAATTTTGAATTTCTTATTATGTTTCAGGCTTTATGCGTATAGCAATTCTTCAGAGTGGTATGGACTGGAAATTTACGGAAAAGACACTGCTCGTCCAGGTAATAGAACTCAAAGTGCTGGTATGGTACCTGTGGTCCCTCTAATGGAAGTAAAGACCATTGCAGAAAACAAAACAAAGTCCCCAGAGTTGTACCGCTCGCCTGCTTCTAAGGAAGAACCTGATGACGTTGATATGGTAATGTTCTGACTTCATTACACGTTTGTCCTCTGCGTATGGCATTGGCCAGCCTGCTTGCGCACCCATAGGGGCATTCTCTTGTGTTCTTTGGGCTTTGATTGAAAAGGAGTGGACTCCAAAATTGGTGAAATATGTACGGCTAGAACTGGAGCGGCATTGCTGAAAGCAGAGCTAACTTGGCCCCCCCCTTCACGATGCACTGTCAAGAAGCACAATGCCGGTCATGTTAGTTTCAAAACACTATTCGTCCCTTCGCAACTTCAAAAACATATTGGCTCATTGTAGGGATGTCATAAACACAATCCCAACAGCCTAGTGTATTTTTGGTGGCAGGGGGAAAGAGCGGGGGAATACAGACTTACGATACACTAACAAACAAGATATCTCAGGATGTATCTGTCCACCTGGTGCCATATTCCACTCTTGTATCTCGGTCGTACATCGTACCCCTTTTACCAGCCACTCCTCCTGCACTGCTTTTTATAAGAGCCTTCAACATCATTTCATGGCTGTCAACCCTGGTTAGGCATCTCCCGGCCCTTCGCGGAAAGAGCTTGGCTTCCATGTCAGGCGTATTCAAAGTCATACACCTCCCTCAGTCGATAGGCCACTCCAGCAAGTGAACATGTTAAGGAAAGGTAAGGGCGTTGGTATGGGCAAAAAGAACCGAGCAGAGCTAACCAACCAACCAATAACGTGATTGCTGACCCTGCCTTTTTGAGTGCCCTGCATGAACTTGACATAGATGTTCGTCAGCAAAGACTACCCGCACATTACATAAAAAATATTTTATAGGAAATACGAGTTAGATTTGGACCAATCCCATGTCACTGTAATGAATCTCTCCACGTGTCTTCGACACTTTATCCCTAGCAATTGAAGGCAGGCACTCATTCAGCTGGCTGAGCCGCAGCTTCCCTCCAGCACAGTCTCGCATCAGTGAATGCTTTAATGATGGCCACCTCCACTGCTTTTAATGCGACTAACCATGGCCTGCAGATTGGAAACAACTCCGGTTCCATCACAGCAGAATTCCATGTGGCGCGGGGTAATTTTCATGTGATTTCCAGTTAAAATAAGGCAGGCTAAACACTGTTTCTAGCGTACACTTCCGAAGACATCGATCGAATCTGTCTGCACGCTCTGCGCTGCCCGGACTCCCTGGCTGTGAAGAATCGCCTGAAAGAGAGCAAGGACAGGTTGGTCCACCAGTCTATCCAGTGGATTCTTGAAGATCCGCAGTACAAAGATTGGGAAAATGGGGACGACGTCGGCCTGCTTTGGATCAAGGGAGGCGCTGGGAAGGGGAAGACCATGCTGTCAATCGGTCTGATCGAGCGGCTCGCGCGGGCGCAGGATGAATCCACCGTGGTGATTTATTCGTTCTGCCAGAATGCCGACTACGAGCTCAATACACTGGAAGCCATTCTCAAGGGGTTGATTCTCCAGCTGGCGAATCAGCAAACGGAGCTGAAAGAATCGCTCCGTCGCCGGTGGGACACCATACAGGAGTCGTTCAGTGAGGATGTCACCTCGTGGCAATCGTTGTGGAACATCCTTTTCGAGATGTTGGCCCGGTGCAAGTACTCTAGGGTATATATGGTCGTTGACGCGCTTGATGAATGTCAGAATGACGACGTGGTTGACTTTCTCAAATCCATCGTGCGTAAGGGACTTGATCATCCCGGCAAGATCAAGTGGATGTTGACAAGTCGACCATGGGACGGCGCAGAGCGGGTATTATTAGCTGGTCAGGACCAGGTGCAAATTAATCTGGACGGGGAACACAATTCCCAATCTGTTTCAGGGGCTGTGGAGGCTTATATCACTTCGAAAGTGGAGGAGCTTAGTCGCCGGCACAAATATGGAGTGGCCCTGAAGAGCGAAATAATGACTGAGCTTACTGAAAGATCGGAAGGTACCTTCCTCTGGGTAAGCTTGGTATGCAAGGCGCTCGAGAGTGTCTGCCGAGATGACGCTCTGTCCACAGTTCAAAGCTTGCCGCCGGGTTTGCATCCGTTTTATGATCGGGTATTGAACCAGCTCAACGAAGGCGAACTGGCTGAAGTACAGAAGTGTATGCGACTGCTCAAAGCCATGATGACGGTATACCGACCTTTGAAAGTGGAGGAAGTCGCTAGTGTGATCGGCCTAACCGATGAAGAGGACGCCATTAGAGCATTGGTCGATTGCTGTGCTTCATTCATCCGGTTGCGCGAAGACAACATCGAGTTTGTTCATCAGTCAGCGCGAGACTACTTGGCCGGAGAGAATGGGCTGTCTATACTCGACTCTCATGGACGCTTCGGACATGAAGAAATTGTCCTCGCTTGTCTGTCCTATTTATCTGAATGTCTCAAGCCCAACCTTGTTGACCTGCCGCGGCCCGATGCCACGAGAGACTCTATAGAAGCTTTGGAAAATGGACCGAAGAATGGCATACTGTCTCGCGTGGCCTATGCAGCTATGTTCTGGGTGTCACATCTACAGAACACGAGCAACGACACCGACAAGAGCCAAGTCAGCGTATTCCTACACACAAAGTTGTTGGAATGGCTAGAATGCTTAAGTCTGTTGGACAGGCTACCAAAGGCCATTGACGCGTTGAGAACACTGGAAGAAATATTGAAAGTGGGTTTTAATGTTTTCTCTGACGTCTCCGTCTTTACTAATCAAGTTGACAAAGGATGACTGTCAAGCTTTAGCATCCGTGCAGGATGCTCTGCGTTTTTTGTTGCGACATTACCACACTTTGTCGCACTGGCCGCTACAAATCTACAGCTCTGCCATCATTTTCAGTCCTGAATCAAGTGTTGTGAAAAAAGAAAACCTTCACAAAGTTCCCGTATGGCTGAGAAGAGCTCCTCCCATGGAGGACAGTTGGACGCCTATGATACAGGCACTAGCAGGCCATGTTGAAACTATCGAGATTGTTACCTTTTCACCTGACGGCAAGCAGATAGCATCAGGCTCTTATGATGGCATAATTAAGCTCTGGGATACTGTCACAGGTAGCCTCCAGCAAACGCTATCAGGTCACTCAGCGCAGATCACAGCTATGGCTTTCCTACCGGATAGCAAGCTGATTATGTCCGGCGCTCTTGAGGGCTCTGTTATGCTATGGGATACCACCACAGGCGACCGTCAGGACTGGTTCCACTTGCAATCACCAGAAGAGCGCGAGGCTAGCCCCCACGCCCTGGCTTTTTCCGCGGATTGCAGGCAGATCGCAGCAACCGGTTATTATCATGATAATCAATGTATCATGCTTTTTGACGCTGCTACAGGAGACCCCCAGAAGATCCTTACAGGCGATTCAGACACAACCTTAGCTCTGGCCTTCTCACCAGACGACATGCAGCTTGTATCAGGCTCATATGACGGCACAGTCAGACTCTGGGATACTACCACAGGTGACCTTCAGAAAACACTAGTCGGCCACACAGACAGTGTTCGGACTGTGGCCTTTTCACCAGATGGCAAGCAGATTGTATCAGCCAGTTATAACACTATCAATCTTTGGAATGCGGCGACAGGTGATCTCCAGAAGACACTGGCATACCCTTACGCCCGGACCGTGGCCTTCTCACCCGATAGTAAACAGATCGCAGCATGCTTTACTAATGGCATGATCTTCTGGGATACTGCAGGCAATATTCAAAAGACGCTAGCATGCCAGTTAGGCACAGTTATGTCCATGGCCTTCTCACCAACCGGCAGGCAGATCGTTACAGGCTCTACTGATACCACTATCAGGCGCTGGGATATCACCATAGGTGCCACCCAGAATGTCGTGGGCCACTCAGGGAGGGTTGTAGGAGTGTCAATCTCACCAGACGGCAAGGTGATTGCGTCAGGCTCCGCTGACAAGACTATTAAGCTTTGGGATGCTGCAACGGGCAATTTGCAGCAAACACTAGCAGGCCATCAAAGCACAGTCTTTGCTGTGGTCTTTTCCCCAGACAACATGCGGATCGCCTCGTGCTCTGACGAAGCGGTGAATCTCTGGGATGCTGCCACAGGTGACCTGCAGATCTCACTTCAGAGCGACGACAATTTCAGCGCTGTCACCTTCTCACCCGACAACAAGCTGATTGCGACAGGCCATGAGCACGGCAAAATTAGTCTCTGGGATTCTGCCACAGGTGACCTTAAGAAGACACTTGCAGGCCACATAAACAAATTTGCGTCCCTGACGAAGTTGGACTATATGTTCGACACCAAAGTCACCACTTTGACCTTCTCACCTGATGGCAAGCTAATTGCATCGGCCTCTGAAGATAAAACAATTAAGCTTTGGGATGCTAAAACGGGGGACCTCCAGAAGACACTAGAATGCAATTTCGAGAGCATCATTACGGCGGCCACGGTGGCCCTTACAACAGGGGCCCATGCAAACACATCAATCATCACAGTGGCCTTTTCATCAGACGGCCAGCAGATCGCAGTAGTCTGTGATAATCAGACCATCAAGATCTGGAACATCAAAAAATTGCTCAAAGCATCGAAACTTCTGGGGCGCGGTGTTGGTAGTCATATCAAGTCATCTCGGCCATGGAAGGAGATTAAGACGTCAGAGCAGGTGTATGGCGTAGAATTCGCAGCAGGCAACCGCTATCTTGAAACAGCCATTGGACTAATATCACTTGAGAGCACCGCGTCCGAGGAAGGGAAGGAGGAACTGCCAGTGAGGTCAGATTCGGATTTATTACAGAAGCTCTATGTCAGAGGAGAGTGGGTATACTATGGAACTATGCCCTTCCTTCGGCTATTGCCTGATTTCCAGGCTTGTGCCTGTGATGTGCACGGCGATCAAGTGGTTGTTGGATTCAGCAACGGTCTGGTTTCAAGCTTCGACATTGATCGATGGAGTTTACATCAATACTGGAAACACTTCATGACGGTAAGCGCCCAACAGCCGGTTAGTAATCTGGCTGGAAGTCGGAGTGGGGATGGAGTTAACCAGGAGGCTTCTCTTGACCGTTGAAGATTCAGTCTCGGTCCGGGTCAGGTCAGATGCGGTTTGTCAACATTGGTAGGCCTGTTTGTATGTCGTTCCTCTTTGTAGCAGCTGCGGGGAGTATATATCAGTCGATTTCGCTTGTTCATTTTACTGCGATTCTCGAACCAGTTTCCTCTAAGTTGCTTTGCGTCTTCTATGGACACCAGGAATACTATATGCATTTCTATGGTCATGATGGTAGATGAGGATTGGAATCAATATTAATATGCACGAGAGGTACACGGAATGCTCGTGCTGTGGGGTTCCCTATAGCTTGCCAGGCTTCTGATTATCTGTGCCATGCGTCATGGCGACGTATTTAGTCTACACTTCGCGAGACTCTCCGTCTGTGTAATAGACAACAGCTAGGACGAGAGGGATCAACCAGTTCAGCAGAAAGAATCAAAATTGAATGTCGCAATCCAGGGCCTCTTGGATATAAAGATACCCAAACTGAACCTCGAAGGGCCAAAGGACTGGTGAGTTCCAGTGCCCAGATATAAGTGTATACATATTGAGATCTACCTAGGAGTAACCCATCGACGTCTAATAGTATCTCAGATACCGGGTTTGATGTCAGTCGCGCCGTCAGCTCAAAGGATACTCCGGAGTCTGAGACGTAGAAAGGAGATTTGCAATACAGTCCTTGCTCCTTTCCCATTTAAACTTGGCACCCGATATATGGTTCCACGATCCAGTGGCTGCTTTGCCCAAGCCTAACCGTCAAACCCCAATAGGAGTAGAGGATGACTTGATCAGTTCCGTCTTCGACCCGTTCGCATCTAACAGAGTGGACTGCAATGACGTTCAATCTCCAAATATGTGTATATTTTTCGTCAGATATACCACTCATCGTGACCTGGAGGAAGTCGCTGGGCCATGTATTGTTAATGATGATCTACCAGCAAAACTAAAGACAGGTTACTTCACGTTCTTCACGTTAGAGTGATAATCCTAGATATGTTCCTATCCAAGATGCATATTGAGAGTTCAAGATGGAATTTTAATTTCAGTGATTACCAGTCATGCAAAAGCCCAGTCAGATATTGCATTCACTATTCATTCTTCAGCCGTATACTACCTGAGGTAACTAATGTAGTGGGGATACCACTGACAGGTTGGTAGTAGGTTGTTAGCACTGTGGTCTGCTTTAGGTGCTTGGGTCTTGCTGGCGTTCTTGGCAGACAGCGTGTTATTTTCGTCGGCACTTTCTTGTTCATCCAAGAGGAGGAGGACCAAAGGAGATGCTTCATGGAACAGCCGACAGTTCGTTCGAAGCAGATTGCTCTTCCTAGTCGCTCATTAAACTCAATGGATTGATACTCCTCATATTCTTTTATTATAATATCTAGTTTTTCTATAGTAGATATAGCTGCCTTATTATAAGAGGATTGAGGTTTCTTTGAGATCTTATTGGCTATAGAGTAAAAATTTGATAGAGCCTGTTAATAATCCTTAAGTGCATATAGAGTTACGCAGTACTAGTTTCTTGCAGAGTTCTTGCACCCTTACTACCTCACTCTTAAATGCCCTCCTTTGTGAGATGATAATCCTTAGTCAATTCTAAAGCTGTTAAGCATTTGCTTTAGATGACTAGGTATTCAGCAGCAAATATTCCTGATTTAATTAGCCTACACTAGCCTAGTAAGGGGTGCCTAAAAAGCAGAAGCACATTATACATACCTATTATATATTCAAGGTTCTCCAAGGTGGATGTAACAAGATCTCTATAAAAGGATCTAGATCCTCCAAAGACCCCCTCATATATAGAGTTAAAATAAGATAAGACATGTTGATACCACTCATAATAGTCCTAGAACGTACACATAGTTGTAGTAGTTTCTTTGATAGCTGTAGTGCCGAATGTTAAAGGGGCGAAGATAATGCTTTTATATATCAACTGGCTTCTAAATGATTAATATTAGTGCCCCATAACTCGCGTCCTGTTTTGCCTAGGGCGCTGTTGTGCCCTGGGGCTCTGTTGTGACTGAGGCCAATCATGTGCAATTACTTGTGGCATTACCTTGAAGCTGCAGGCACCCAAAACAATACCTAGATCTACAAGGTAGTGTGAAATGTAAAGTAACTCTTAGGAGCAGGTATTTTAGGATCTCTATTAATATTAGTTATGAAATAAGTAGGTTTAGTTATTATAATTTTATCTCTATTACCCTAACTAGGCTTCAGTTTCTTTCCGATCTTACGCCACTCAATTTATATATGATATAGATTATATATATCAGGACAAAGAGAGCGCAAATCTAGCTACAGACTCTAGGTAATCCCTCAGGATACTGTAGTCCCTCTTACTAAGCTCGTCCAGGGCCAGCGAAACCCCTAGCGTTGCTACATTAAAGACCTCAAGCTCTCGCCCGTCTCCCAAGCTTTAAGGCGATGCTCAGTTGGCTCACCAGCCTCTTGTGATAGGATTCGCCAAATGGGACTATTGGTCATTCTCGGTACGTCGGCGGTTTGCCGGACCTTTTACTGTGCCAGTGCTAACGCATCTATCATCAACTTGACGCTGCGTGCGAGAGCAGTGGTGGCGGATAGCTCCTCGACATCGCGAGTCGCATAGGTTCCTCCCCCCTTTTCATCCTCCAGTGGTTGCTTATTTCTACTAGCTCATCGCAGCCCTCCGCAACCCATGCCCATTTCACGAGAAAACCGGGTGTGGCCTCCCAGCTCTTCATCTCGTGCGGTTCGCCCCAGACAATGAGTCCCTTGCGCCCGGCGGTCACTTCATCCGGATCACTTCCGGATGAAAGGGTCAGGGGTCGTTGAGTCTCCGGGACGTTAGTGGAGACGGGCGCGCCTCCTCGCCGCGGGGCTGGCGTCGAGTTCAGTAGATCACCGACGAGATCCTGCATCAGCTCCCAGGGGTCGAAGCAGCCTTCGTATCTAATAAGGTTATCACGGACGCGGGGGAAGGGGATGACGTTAACCCAGGCAGAGTGATAGCGAGTTTGTTGGAGGGTGGTTGGGACGAGGGAGGGAGGGATGTCCGGCTTGAGGGGGTAGAGAGCCGTGTCGTCGCGGCAGGCTGAGGTAATGGTGCAGATGGTTGAATCGGCTGGTTGGGTGTTGAGGGTACGCATATTAGAGATTAAGGCGCGGCAGACGTTATACTGAATGAGATGGAGGAGGTGGTCTAAGGAGAGGGGGAAAGTAAAGGGCTGGGGGTCCAGATTTACGGCCGGGGGTTTGGCAGTGGATGGCGATTCTCGGAAGACGACTGTACGCTTGGCTGTGGAGGGTGATGTGCCTGTGTACATGTGAGGGTACGTGTAAGGCGGTCGAAGGGAGAAGGACGTGGTTGTTGCGCGCTCTGATGCTAACGAAATTTCTTGGGAGGGAAAATGGTCGGGTTCGTCGAGGCGCCAGCGCCTGATCTGGAATGAGCGCGACTCCTGAACATTCCCCGAGTCTCTGCCCTTGAGCCGTAGTCCTGTAGTGGCTTCTGAGTATAGAACGGTTATGAGCGAGGGGGATACTTACGGTGTGCTCTTTGGTTCCTCCGGTTCTGGACCTTCCTGCGCTGCTGCTTGGCCTTAGCCTCGGCTTCCGTGTCACGATCGTCAGCGGCCTGTCTCGCTTGACTCTGGGGCCAGGAGAGCTGAGTACTGGCATACTCCATCGTCTCGGTTTAGCGAGAGCCTAATTCTATGTACTGTAGTGTTCGAAATTTGATATCTAGAAGTGAAGAAAGCAAACGGACTAGTCCTAGTCCTAGTCCTAGTTCGGGGCTGGGATATATCGGCCCCCGCTTGGGATGGGCTGACGTAATAAGCCTATCCTAACCCCGCAAATTGACTACCAAGCAATAATAAAATCTAGAAATTCCTACGAGTAGTCAACCATGGCTTGATGGTAAGTATACATAGACGGATTTCAATCACTAATTGGAATCGGGCACAGTTTATGACCTTGGCCGAGTATGGCATGTACACGGGGGGGTTAATCTACAAGTCACTTACACTTTGCTCCTACCGACCGAGAAAGAGATCGCAGCGAAACCGACCGAAGATTGAACGTAGGAAGAAGAAGAGAAGTGACATGAAATTGAGGAACAAAATATTTATGTAGATGGACATACTCTCGTGATTTCTACAACCCAAGGCCTACTTTGTCGAAGACTAGGGGCGCACCTTCTATCGTTACCCAAGCGATACCTAACATACGGCAAATCGTAAGCAAAACCATCGTCGCAGCTATTTGACGGCATTACTCACCCGTATACACAACCAGTTTGGTCACCACTTCGACATCATATCGAACACGAGGTTTCTTCACTTGCGAGAAGACCTCCGTAAGATTGGGTTCCTTTTCCTCTTCGTAAGCAGGGAAGGGTTCGGTTGAAGGCTCTCGGTCTATGGCCGATATGGCGCCAGGGCTGTGGCGCGAGATGCCAGTACCCATCATATGTTCATACTCGTCCAATTTGGATTGCTTTCGTGCCGATTTGGATGGCTGCGTCCCGGACATGGAGACATTTGCAGTGTCACCGTCGTCTTCGGCAACTGAGTAATTGTGAGCGTTATTTGACAAACTTTCGCGCCTGCGCTTCTCGCGATATGCCAGAGTCTCGTAGGCATCGGCCTCGGATTGGGGGCCAATGGATACGGCTCGGCGGCGCGGATGGCGGATATTGAGGAGAATCGACGGAATGTCCGCAAACGACGGAAGGACTTCATGGTCCTTTAGATGAGCTGGAACAGTTTTGTACTGCCTGTTTAATTGTCAATCAATCCATCCTTCATTCTTCGAAGTGGTGGGTGAAGACTTACGAAGCTCTGGTAAAGAATCGCCGAGGAAGCAGGAGACCCAACTTCTCCAACGCTCGAAAGATTGGAGGTAGGGTGCGTAGGAGAAGAGGTTTCATGACCTCTCTCCAAGTGAAAATCAAGAGGACACCCAGGACAAAGCGCAGTACTGTCTTTACCAGACCCAAATCTTTGTACCGGAACGGTATCGTAGCGGGGGAAGGCTCGGACCAAGCGATGCTAGACTTCGCGAAATGCCAGCAGCCCAGTTGCACTCCAATTATTACCCCTGCAAAGGCCACACTGTCGTCGAAACACGGACAATCGTCTGCCGGTTCGGGGTGAATGCGGACGAGGATGATTATCACCAGGACCACCAGCGCGATTTGTTTCCCTGATGCTGAGAACACGTAGTCATCGAGCAAAGGTCCGTATAGATTTTGCACGAGCGTTATGAAAGCTCCGAGCAGGCAACCGATAATGACATCGAGAAACCCATGCATTCCACAGTAAAGGCGACCTAGTACAATGGAGGTGACGTAGAGATATGTCATGCATTGAAAGATCAAATTGATGTGGCTGCTCAGAGTCGTGTCGGGCGAATTAAGCAGGGTAAGCACGTAGATGGCGACAGAGACGGCGTTTGTCGAATGCGTCGAAGGGAACCCATACTCTAGCGCGGCTGAACCAGACATAGTAATGCGCTGGAGCGGAGGTGATAACGGGCGGGGAAGGCATAGCAAGTCCTTGATGAATCCGCTGAAGAAGACTCCAGAGGCCAACACCTGCACAAATCTGAGCGGCGCAAGTTGTTAGCCGACACGGGTCCATTCCGAGCTATGAGTTGTTCTTGACGGCTCAAAGAGCTTCCATCCCTCCCACGAGCACCTACCCACGGCCCAAGTTCGTGTAACCGCTCCAAAACAACATCGGCAAAAAGATCATGAAAAAGGTATGCGTTCCCAGGTTGGCGGTGAATGCGAAATAGGAATCGAGGGTCGGACTACGGATCTTCTCCTGGAACCACGCCAGATAGGGTGTCTCATAGCGCACCAGAGGAAGGAGTTTCTGTCGAGGCACATAACGCCATTGCGGGAGTCGATTCCGGTCTATTCAGCAATAGAGGAAAGGAGACCAGGTAAGCGAAGACTCGAAACAAGTAGTGTACTTCATTCCGAAAGGGAAATGTCACACACGTACAGTGATCTAGGCTCCGGAGCCCAGCGTCTGGATTGCCATTTGCGCCCTTAACCATACTGAAGGCGGCCGATTCGAACAAGTGGTGTAATTGCAGTTTTCCCCATAGAGTGCCAGCCAGTTACGACGTCTCAACACACGCGCGTAATTGATGACATTGACATCGCAATGGCGGATGAAGAAAAGGTCAACTGAGCGATATGTCCGCTTGCACCTGAATTTTATGCTTTTTTCAGGGGACTTGGCCACTCGGGGCTGACAGAACAGCAGATCAACCCGGGCGGGCCCACGACAATTTGTCCCGCGGCATAAGAGAGACTGGCGCTTGGCAGTCCAAGCGTCGCGATAACGATTGTGCGTTGACCCCTTAGTCAGAAGCACGTGAGGAGAGGTACGAATACGAATGAATAGCAGGAAGATAGTCTATCTGCGCATTGGTACAATAATGTTTTTCCTGCACTAGGCACAATTATTAGAAGACGAGTTTGATCGTCATCTTACAGGAAGTATAGTGTTGGCTACCTGGAGAAAGGCGACCGTGGCAACATCAACCGCAGATATATATTTTGAAGGACCCTTGGACTCCGTCAGTCTTGACTCTTGGAGGCCTATCTATTTGGATCCAGCCTGGACAGTCAAATCTTCCGAGCTGAAACATCTGCACACATGGGCAGACTAGCACAAATCATCCATTGGTCTGACTCCATACTTTATGTCTGAGAGAGGTTCTTGACGCCTGAATCACATGCAAGGATGTTGCTTGCGCGCAACTCTAAATTCCTTATTAGCTGTGGAAAGGTCTAGATCACCCTCAGCACAGGCAGCATGAAAGTCGCTCATTCAGAGCCTGGATATTGGGGCTGAAGGTGTTCATATCCGAGGTAGCAAAGCCTGTCGTGGTGTTCCTCTGGTTGACGATTAACCCCACATGTATTCATGACGAAAGTGAGCGAGCAAGCCTGGCAGGTGCTGAGATAAAGGGAACGTTAGCCGAGGGCATAGAGAGGTCCCTCACTACTGTAGCATTACTAGGAAGCTAGACTAGTAGTCCAATTCCACTACTGACAAACCACAAGCCAGTGTCAGCTTTCCGATCGGGGCGGCTCAATGATCCGAACCTCCAGCCCAGCTGGCCAACGACAAGACAATGAAATATGGACCAGATCAACCGGCGGATCTTGTTTGTATCGCTGGTACTCTAAAAATAAGACGAGAATTGAAGAGCGTGCACGAATGGGGATTCTGGAACACCAGAGTATGGTGCTAGGGTCGAGTGGCAGCGGAGCTTCGTGCGTCATCCCAGCCACGGGCGGTTGCCATGGCAGCCCTCCAGCCCGTAAACACCGCATTTTGAAGGTTGCAGTTTCATGTCACCTGCACTCGTTGTTGGAGCAGCAGGCATGCTCTACTCAAATGGGCGAAAACCATCTTACAAAGTGGCATCCCTTTCATCCTTTAATTGTTCCATATTTCAACCGCACCTCATCCTCTTACACATCCATCGAGCGCATCAATTTACCGTCTGTTTGTCTGAACCGCACCGCACCATCAGTACCTGCGAGTCACCTGCAACTGGAAAGACGATAACTCCGTTCTGCTTTTGATACGTCAGCTGGACCGTTACAGCAGCAGCCCGTACATTGGACAGATTTCTCCCTTTCTGGATCCGCTGGGTACCTCGTGCCAGATTATTCTCCTAGATTCATGGACATGTCAGGACACATGTATGAAGATAGTGGCTACGCAGCCTCTCGACGTCGTTCGCTTGCAACTCCACCACCCTCCATGACTCCAAGACACAATCGGACCCGTAGTCAAAGTGTGAGGGTGAGTAACGGAACTGTCAGCACAAATACCAGTGTCTCAAGTGGAAGGATGTCGGAAGCCACAAACATCACTCAACCGCCAGCATATTCAAAAAAGTTTGTGGTGGTGGGAGATGGTGGTTGCGGTAAGACATGTCTTCTTATCAGTTATTCACAAGGGTATTTCCCTGAGGTAAGTGTTTTATCCTTGAACGTCGAATTTGATGAGAATCATCCCTCACTGCTCGAACTTCCGCTTTTTTAGAAATATGTTCCTACCGTGTTCGAGAATTATATCACGCAAACCACCCATCGAGCTTCTGGAAAGACAGTCGAACTGGCTCTCTGGGATACTGCTGGACAGGAAGAGTACGACAGACTGCGGCCACTCTCATACCCCGAAACAGATCTTTTGTTCGTCTGCTTTGCCATCGATTGTCCTGCATCGCTAGAGAATGTCATGGACAAGGTATTTGACTCACCTCTCGTCTTCCCGCAACATCTGACCAACACGAACAGTGGTATCCCGAAGTACTGCATTTCTGTCCCACCACGCCTATAATACTTGTCGGTTTGAAGTCGGATCTGCGCTCGAAGAGGACTTGTATCGAACTCCTGAAAACTCAAGGATTGACTCCCGTTACACCGGAACAGGGCGAGGCAGTTGCCAGGAGAATGAATGCTTCCTATATCGAATGCAGTAGCAAGGAAATGCGCGGTGTTGATGAAGTTTTTGCAATGGCAGTCGATACCGTCGTGTCTGCCGAAGAACAAGACTGGATGGGCACCAGCCAGAGTAACGGCACCAGCAGCAAATTCGGAGGAGGTGGCGGTGGCCTCAGGAGCGGCAGCAAGAAGGTTAAGAAGCGTACTTGCAAGATTTTGTAAATCTTGAGCAGCTTCTCTCCGCTGGCTTGACTTTTCCTTGTTTCTCGGGTCTTCTTACAGCCGATTTCGGGGCCTGGTTGCCTCGACGCCGCGATGGACCAGATAACTCTTTTTTTTGGTACGTGACGTGCTGCCCCGAGCCGGATAATTGTTGGGAAAGAAACATTCGGCTTCTGGCAGGTGTTGCGGATTGTCATTCCTTACTTCAGACATGCTGGTCAAGGTGGCTTACTGATTTATGTTCCCTTCATGTTGCTATACCGGTTTGGACTTGATGATTGTTACCATGAACCCAACGATTACCCTTTTTTTGTCCTCGTTTCCATTTGCGCGATTGGCTCTATTTAACATTTGATGTCTGTCATGAACTAGCCTGAGGCCACTCTTCTGCATGCATGGCATGGGTGTTTACCGGCGCAAGCAACTATCCCATGTACCCGATAGGATAAACTATCAAAACTGATGATTCTAAACACGTGTGTGTTATTCTTGTAACAAAATCCGACGTAGTAGTGGTATCAAATAGTGGAATATCCAACCCAGTAAAATAAGTACATAACTCGTAAAAGAAGTAGAACGATCATCGTATGCAAGACACCGTGTGCTTACACCGCTAGTGACTCGTCGATGCTCCCTCGGCGTAACTCTGACCATGGCCTTCCCTTCCTTCCTCTCCAACATGTTGCCCTTCACCCTGTCTCGTCCCGTTCGGCTCATTCTCCTCAGAGCGGCCCATGAAGTTCTCAAACTGTGACCAGAGAGCTTCGACTGAACTGAACTCATTGCCGACCTGCGTATCACATTATTGACAGCCTTGGTCCGTTGGTTTCGTTATCACTTACTGCAATGATACTTTCCAGGTTGCGGTTTAGGCGGTTAATGTTTTGGAGTACTTGCTCCATACCCTGATGAATTCCGTCAGCGCTGTGGTAAATAGAGTGGCGCTAATCCATCAATGAAGTTGATTAAGGGATTTGAACAGCTGCATAATGCTGTCATTTCTGTTTCTCATTCAGCGCCGAATTGCTTACCACTGCGATTTCCCGAACCAGTTCAGCTCGCTGCTGCTCAAAGACTGTCGGGGTTGATCTCCTCGGTGTTGTTGACATTTTCGGCGCAGTCCAATTGTTCTCACTCCACAGGGCAAAAGGTCTTCAATCAGAGCAGTCTGCTTAAATCCACCGTAAGGAATTGATCACGAAGTATTGTGTTTTGTGTATATTGTGGAATTGTTTGATTGATTCTGGACGCGTTGATTTGTTGCCATTTTGCCCTTTGTGGCTGATGCGGGGCGGAAGTGGCAGTATCTGATTGGGCTTTGACCGCCTACCTTACCGCTTCTTTGGATGTTCTTTCAGTCACGGACGATGGTGCTAGGTAGCTAGTTCTTTCAACGTCCTTAAAGAAATTGAACAGGGACATGCTGCATAATCTTTCTCATCTTCGAAAAGGTAGTTGCTATAGTACGCAGAGAGAATGTCATATCATGATCTGGACCCGATGGCCCAAACCGATGCTCTCCGGAGCCAACAAACACATCCTCCATGACTGAAAAGTTTGAAGCAATGGCTTCACTTTGAGAAACGGCATTGCAATGGTTGTCGGCCATTGCGTAGTGACGTGGCATATGACTCTCTTACGAAGTAATCTTTAGTCTCTGTGAATTCAGAGGACTCTCAATGATGCTGAGACAAAGATGGAATAGCAATACCAAAATGCCAACATTCTCTTGAAGCCGGTCCTGAATGGACACACAGCTGCTAAAAGAAAATCGTGATGAGCTGCTCCTATCCGGTTTGCCCTTAACATCAAAGGCCATACAAGTAGCGCCCATTCAAGGCTAGAAGCAACGACAAGCAAAAGAAGATAGGCCACATTGAACCTCTCTTCTACGCCATGTTAAGAAAGAGGCAATGGGGGCAGACACTACCAACGCTGTTTGGCGTCAGCTGTTGAAGAGGGTACAAACAAGTAGCAAACACAAATTCCCAAAACTCTCTTAACTCACACAGGTCAGCCTCCATGTCACCATATAAGAACCTGGCACGAGCTTCTCCATCTTGCTGAAGACATTCCTCGTCTCACACTCAAGCTAATCTTTCCTTCTTAACTCCCAGCCGACAGTGTGTGTCTGGACCCACAAGAACGTCAAGTTACATATACAGTATCGGAGTTCGACAGTATGGGCAAATTGAGCAGCCTTATGCTGTCAGACATTGATGGCTTTAAGACAGGAGGACGCGTGCACCTCCTGGAGACAATTGACAAACTACGCGAGCTAGGCATCAGTGAGAGCGTCTCACTTCCCCAGGTAATGCATTCATTTTCTCACGCGTTGGGCTTTGTTTTGCTGAAGAAATGGCAGCTAGTCGTTGTCGGCGATCAATCCAGTGGAAAATCCTCTCTCCTAGAGGGCATGACAGGCTTCTGCTTCCCCGTGGCCAGCGACTTGTGTACTCGGTTCGTTACACAGATTGTCCTCATTCGAGGCCCCGAAAGCAACGCAGGAGTTCGAGTTACAATCATACCCGGTCCAACGACTCAGATGGATGGTGAGTTCAAGGCACACCTCTTAGGATTCGAGCGGAAGATGGTAGAAGAAGATTTTGGGGGTGATGACTTGAGGCAAATCTTCAATGAGGTAGGCTCATACTCAAAGCATATTGTGTCTCGGTTGCTCAAACCAACAGGCTGCAAGACACATGGGTGTCCCGGGGCCTGATACTGAGGACCCGAAGAACCTGGACAAGCGATTTTCTGATGACATTCTGAGAATCGAGATTTTCGGCCCTCAACATCAAAACTTGAGTGTGGTGGATGTGCCTGGCTTGTTCCACAGTACGCATCACCCAAAAAGAGATCAGTGCTTGTGCTGAGCGAACTCGCAGACCCCACGGACTACCAAACGGAAGAAGATCGCGACACCATTCGCAAGCTGATTAAAAGCTACCTCAATGATAAAAGAACCATTATTTTGTTAGTGGCGATTCTTGGAACTGGAATCGGAGCGCTGACGATTTGTTTAGGGCAGTGATGGATGCGAGAAACAACTTTGCCAATCAAGAAGTGTGAGTGATCCAACATGGTCATATGGAGCACATAGCTGAGGGGTCTAGATTCTCTATGGCTCAGGCCGCAGACCCTGCAGGAGCTCGCACAGTCGGAATCATTACCAAATGCGACGCCTTGGAGCCTGGCGATGAGGACAGGGTAAGCTGGCTTGCTCTTACCGAATTCAGACATGGCTGATCGATACAGGTTTTGAAAATCGCGAGGAACGAAGATGCAAAACTGACTCACGGTTGGTTTGCCGTCCGAAACCGCTCAACAAAGGATATCAAGGATGGTATGACGATTGAGGACCGCCACAAACGGGAAAAGGAATTCTTTTCCACCGTAGCGCCGTGGAACACTCTTCGACCGGACAGAGTTGGGATCAAATCCCTGAAGGCTTTCTTGGGTCAACTCCTGTATGCGCATATTCGTGGAGAGTTTCCCCATGTCGTCAAGGATATCGAAGAATTCCTGCTAGACGCGCGGGAGGAGTTGCAACAGCTGGGCCTTCGCGGCAAACAGCCTCAGATCAGCGACGCTATTTGACTCAAATTGCCACAAAATATGAGCGCGACGTGTCGAATGCGCTCAGTGGCAACTATGGTGCTGGTTCTCAAGCAAAAAGTCTTTTGAAACTGAGAATGCACATCAGGAATCTCAACGACGAATTCGCGGAGGCGATGGCCCGTGATGGCCATACTAAGATTTTTCAGAACCTTGACGGCGGACGAGACGAGGAGTACGAACGTCCCGGACAAGCTGAGGACGACGACATATATGAATGGATTCGGAAATTGTATCGCGATTCACGGGGTGCCGAGCTGCCCGGTATGGTGAATCCCAGTGTTCTTGAGTCCATGTTCCGGCAACAGACCGTGGCATGGAAGCCAATCGCTAGCCAATATATCGGCAAGGTAGCTAGAGCCGTTGATGATTTCAATCACGCAATTTTCGACAAATTGATAGGCGACGAAGGGATCAGAGATCATCTCATGGCACGCCTCCGCGAGCAAAACCAGGAAGCCGTCAAACGTGCAGGTGACGAGTTGGCCAGTCTACTACAGTGTGAGAGGGGCGGTATCTTGCAGACAGTCAACCACTATTTTGCTGAGACGCTGGCCAACATTCGTCAAGAGCGCACTCTCCGGCGCCTCGAAGCGATGGGCTTTCGGGACGGCAATTACTTTTGTCTCGACCAAGTCGTGGGTGCGGTGCACCTCAGCAATGAGGATCAAGCTGTTGAGGATATCCACGATATTCTCAAGGCGTACTACAAGGTTGCTCGGAAAAGATTTACAGACAACGTCGTTCTCCAGGTAGCCGAACGTCACCTTCTTGGGGCCAATGGACCCGTGAAAACGCTGTCACCTGAATTCGTTATGAATCTGGAGGATAGCGAGCTCGAGCATATAGCCGGTGAAAGCTATGTGACGTCAAGCATGCGAAACGACTTGGCTTCCAGAGTGGATCGATTCCAGAAAGCTTTGCAGATTGCGAAGTCAGCCAGTATCTAGATTTGCGCCCAAGTGTCAGGCATGATGGCGGCTTCAGTATCCAAGAAGATCGGGCCGAATGCTCGCGATGACATTCTTGTTTCTGGCGTGCGTACCACAGAAGATCTATGTCCATGCTGGGTCTGAACTCATCCTCACTTGTCGGTGTCATTTGCTTGTTGGGATAATGGTAATGGCCACGATTGCTTTGGCATGATAGAAACAGTTTTCAGTTTGATAAACAAGTCTCTTTAACCAGTAGTGCAAACCCTTAGCAGCTTTAGCTTATGGTGACTTCGTGTCTCGCAGAACTCGCTCACATTTGAGACAGATAGCATGCCAATTTCTCGGAGCCAAATAGTCCCTACAGTCTGCATCGTATCCTGCAACTGCAGAGGCTTCTTTTAACAGATAGAGGAGCTGGATTTCTTCTTCGTCCATTACTTTTTACGTCCATTGTTGTTTCGAGTTTTGAGTTTATCAATCAATTGTTGAATGACTTGAAAGTTGAAGCTGCTGATATGCTTAAAATATGAGCCATACTTTCATGAGGTGCCTGGCCAAAATCCAGCAGTTTTCCAGAACACAGCCCATGCCATTCGGAATGGCCTCACGTCTTCCCGAACAGGCAAGATAAAGCTGCAGCTACTTAGCTAATAGCGCGTAGGCTGCGTCGCGGTGATGTCATTTACACTAAGGATGTCTATGTCGGCAAGGAATGTTGAGACTAGCCATAATTAGCCTTAATCGATAAACCGCACTACGGTTACACAGTATCTATTAGTGTAACCCAAGTGAGGTAAAACTATGTACGATGTCATATCAATAGTAACAAGGTAGGACATCGTTTTGCGAAGAATTCAAGATAAAGAATTACAGCGACTGGTCTATGATGTAGTCAGTGGCTGTTGGTTATATTACCTATGCGTCATCTGTCCCCTTGGGTCGCGATATGGAGAAGGAGGAAGGGGCGCAGAGGGAAACGAACGGCTTTAGAGTCTCAAGTGGGCGAGAAGTCTCAGTGTCTCAGTCTGGAGAAAATAGATGAGTCGAGACTCTCTCGGGTTCTCGGATGCGGTCATTGTCGTTCTCGGTTTTTAGCGCTGGGTATGAATCCCAAATCCGTAATGGACGGGTTTATAGATGAAACAGGAGTACAGGACTGTTTCGACTTTTGAAAGTTATCGCACGGCGGTTACAAGGTACAACCGTATAACATTCAGGAGGCACCTGTTTGACTTTGGGATGGGACCAAGGATTCAGAGGACAGTTAATATTTGGTCTCAAAGTTGAGATTGCCAACCAGCTCGGAAAGACCCGCTGATCAACCACAGGACGTCATGGCTTTGAGGAGTTCGTGTTATAGTGGAGTTTATGGAGTTTTACACAGTGGGACACTTCAAACAAAGTTAGAGAGGTAGTGTCTGAGGAATGTCTGATTGATAATGAGAAAATCTTTCCCGAAACAGACGAACCATCAGGCTGCTTCATCCTCCATCTTCTCACACGATCATCAATCCTTATTTGCTCGAGCGCAGCCACATCAGCAGTGTGTAAGCCATTTTCCTTCGCAAGCGCCCACTCGGGATTCTGCTGCGGCCAGCCACAATGTAAAATCGCTGGACGATCGTTGCCAGTACGAGACACAGACCCCCACCTGTGCATGGTAAGGATCATCATGCGCACTCCTAAGTGATGCCGCTGAGCAATAGTATCTCGGCGCCCTCGGTGCGGTGGGAGATCTGTGTGTCGGATAAGGTCATTCGCAACAGAAGGAAAAATTCTAAACCCCGCAAATTTGGGATTATCGGCTGCATGTCCATCCTATTCAGTCACGGGAGCTGGTGGCTGTCAATCTTTAAAAATGTTTATTCCTCACGCGGGTCTTTATAATCCTGGATGGCCCTCCGTTCCCTATTGATCTCTCGTTGCTTTTGCGGAAATAGTATTCCACACCGATTGTCCGTCATCATCGCTTATTCTCAGCGAACAAATGTCTTTACCTCATCTGACAACATCTCTCAGCATACTTCCATCACTGTCAGCCCGCTTCTGTTGACTCAGCACTGCACTGGGCACCACATAAGCCATCCATTACAAGCAACTACACCAACACTCGAAAAATGCGAGACATGCCATCCAGGTTCATTGAAATCCTCGATCCCTCAGATAACCTGCGCTTCTCCGACTCGGATGTCCGCCTGGAAGATGTCCTAGCCGATCACGAGGCCATCGTCACTCGACCCCGGTCCGCCACAAAGACCAGTGACCGATCAGACCGTGATAACTCCTCCTCGTCGGGGCAGCGTTGGAAAAGACTGAGCACTATCCTAATCACGCCGCGACGACCTTCCACGTCGTGATCACTATACTACGGTCCCAGAACCGAGTTCTGGTATATTTCAGTTATCTTGCGACGATTAGACAGATACAAGGGATTGCCACCTTAGACACGGATACCTAATACCTCTACGATACGTTATTCTGGATTGACCGGGATAGTTGACTGGCTCAACACAAGGGCTCTTCTTGTTGGCTGGGACTTGGTTGGAAATCCTCTGTTACGATAATGACGTTACGAAAATGAGCCCTCTTATACCCCGTGCATTATGCTATACACTTTTCTTTTCCTCCCTGTTCAATAAGAGTCGGCTGGCCTAAAACACGCAATCCTTCTCCATCATGTACTACTACGTTATGTCTTGTTGGATCATCCTGCGCCACTGCATCCAACCGAATTCGGACGGGCATCCGAAATCGCCACTGCTGGCGTGGCCTGTACAGCATGACCTGCAAAATCATCCCAAGTACATTGGCATACCTGTGGATAGATAGATTGACGGATATAATGGGACCCATTGCGTACTCGGTGGAGTTCAAGGGTGTATGTCGATCCTGATCGTCTGTGTTGATCAGACATGCCGTTGATCCGGACATACAAGCGAACTATATTTAGACTTACAAAATAGATCAAGTATTCTGCAGAATGACAGGATCAAAGTACCTAGTATCTTGTCTACCTCTTCTCCAAAGTTATATTATTCTTAGTACGCATTCCAGCGCCTGTGACGTCATGGGCGCATGCTCAGCCCCGGTGTGCCTTGGCGCCTAAACATGTACCTTTCTCTACGTATGGTTGTGACGATGAACATATCAAAGGATGGTACACTTTGAAGGTGAAGATTGATTCGCTGCTAGCAAGTGGAAGAACAATGGCAGGCTAAAGATTTCTGTAAATTCCTAGCTCAGCAATGCCTCAATCCATGGATTGCCACACCCAGCGCATGCAGCCCCGAAGCTGTTCCTCCGCCAGGAGGATATCAGCCTCCCTACCCTGCCGAGGTCGCTCGAGTAGCTCCTCAAAAGGAAGAACGAGAGGAGCCCCAGAAACAGACCCGGGACTGATCTCAATAGTCTGCGCAGCGTACGCCGGCAGAGAAGCCTCAGGCTGATGGGATGGCTGATGCTGATGTTGCTGTATCGGCGCACGCTCTTGCTCCCATTTCTCGATAATCAACGTTCGTCTCTGGCGGTGTATGCCAAGGACGAGGACCATCCGGACTTCTCCCTGCGAGTTGCGCAGCCACCACGTTGCCTCTTCGCGGAGCCGGGGTAGTGACGCGCTGGCACCTGCCTCTATCACCAGGGTGGGCCAGGCTTCGCGGTCACGTTGCATCCGGGCCTTGGGGAAGAGACATCCATCTGGCTGTTTGCCTTTGCGTCCTGCGCAGAGAAGCCGCGTGGTGGCTCCGCCGAACGCGGATTCTGCAGTAGGGTCCATTCCCATGCGGCTGCAGAACAGATCGATAGCGCGGGTGATGTTGAGCGTGACAACATCGTGCCCGTGAGTGAGGATCTTGAGGATGCCGGCGAAATTGTCCCACATGAATCGGTAAGGGATGCCGTGCAGGGGACGTTCTTCGCTGTCTAGCTCGATGCGGGAGTTTTCGGTCAGTCCGAGAATGAGGATGAATTGGTTTCCGTCTCCTGTTTGGTTCAGGGAGGAGTGGACTCGCTCTGCTGTCTGCTGGAGGTCTTCTAAGGTAGTGAATTGGACGACGATGTGATCGTCTGGCAGATTTGCCGTCAGTTCTGGACTAGCCATCTCCTGGTTAGTCCTGAGCCGTTAGATAAGGTGCATTCGTGTCCTGACACGTCCTGCGCTTGTGGCTGTGGTTCTCAATCGAGTCTACTTCAACATTAGAGGAGCATGCAGGAAGGTTGAGCTTCTCAGAGGAACAGATAAGCTTGATGGTTTGAACTGGATGAGGGAAAGCTTGTGCACAGTGAAAATACGGCTTTTGATATGTGGCCCTTGGTTTTAAAGATGTACCTTTGACGTGCCCATTACTCTCATATATTCCCCTTGTAATGGCAGAAGCCTCAGGCAGTCAACACATATATGACGGCCACCAGACGAGGGTATTCGCAGGTAGATCTGGACCAGCTCATATCTGGCCATTACAGTCACATCTTATCCACATACTGCTCCCATAATGTAACATCAAAGAGAAATCAACGATTGATCTGCATCTTTGATCCTGATGTAGTGTTTGTTGATGTTGTCTAGATGATGCGTTATCAGTGACGTCACGCTGGCCTGCGACATATCAACCATCAACACCCGAGCATCTCTCTACACATCGTTCTGTTTACACAAACTATCAATCGAAGAATGCCTCCAAAACGCACAAGAAAAACCACCTCAGCAGCAAAAAACCCACCATCTCCCCCACTGTCTGAGAAGAATGCCACGACAACACACGCACCCAAGGCCGAGGCCGAGGCCAAACCTGAGCCCGAGCTGGAGCCCACTGACCATGCCAGCCCACCCAGCTCCCAACTAAGCGAGGAGATAACAGACACCGTCCCCTTCGACTCAGATGAAGAAATGCCAGAGGAAACCGAACACACCATCGCCGAAGAAGCAGCCAAACAGAAAAAAGCCGGCTACGCAGGCGGATACAACGCCCTCAAGTCATTCAAGGGACAGGTATACTCCGGAATGGCAGTAGGCGGCTCCCACACCTGGACCTACGACGCAGGAACCTGGAAAGAAACCAAGGAGGAGCCTGATCTCTGGCGGATCGACTATCGCACCAACAAGCGGCGAGCGCGCAAGGCGCCAGAGGGGAGCGGCGCCCCCGTCGGAACAGAGTACCACTGGCTGATCGTGGCGCATCAGCATGTGAAGAAGGTGGATGCGAACACGTACGAGACGCATTTGACGGGCTCAAAGTACAAGCTGGCGTATAAGTCTGCGTCGTCGAACTCGTGGTCGATTCCGACGGTGAAGAGGCAGCGCGAGAGGGAGGCGGAGCTGCTTGAGGATGCGAAGCAGAGGGTTCAAGGGCTGCCGCCGGTGTTGGCGGCTGAGAAGGTTAAAGTGGAGAAGCATGAGAAGGGGCAGCAGAGGCTGGATAGCATGTTTACCAAGGCTGGAGGTGCGGATTCGGGATCGAAGAAGAGGAAGATTGATACGACTTAGTCGGGTTCAGGTTTACTATATTCTATGTAGCTGGTAGTAAGTGAATATACCAAGAATTGGTCTGTTGTATGGTACTTACACTATTACAGTTTCTGTACTAGATATCCATTATCTAGTGATAATCGACAATGCTGATTAAATGACCTCAAATACTCCGTAAGGGAATTGTGCGTCCTATAGCAACTGACAGATGATTTCTGTCCCAGAAGACTCGGCAGTGACGTACTCAATTCATCACAACACTCCAGACAGAACAGCCTCAAGGTGATCGAACTCGAAATCATGCATGGGATTGCCATGTGGACCATTCCAGCCAAGAACGGCTAAATTGATGGTTTAATTGTACCCCCGCAAATCTCGGGGTAGCAACAACCGATGCCGTCTTGGCTACACGAGGTCTGGGGTATAAAGCTCCAGAAGGATGATTTTGGGGTCAGTAGAAGTCCAAACTATCAATTGTTCTCAATATGCGAAGAATCGCGTCGTTCACTGCTGTGTTCCTCGCTGCCGCGGCACAGGCCAGATATATTGTCCCCGGCGGCCGATGGCGAGATACCAACGGGGACCTGGTCAATGCGCATGCTGGCGGTCTTCTGTATGACGACAAGTCGAGCAAGTTCTGGTGGTTTGGCGAGTACAAGATTGAAGGCCAGACGGAGGGTGGTGGTGTCTCAGTGTATAGTTCGGAGGATTTGGCGACGTGGGAGCCTCATGGGTTGGCTTTGAGTATGACAACCGGTCTCTTGAAAGCTTCTGGCTAATATTCTGCAGAACCGGTTGAGGGACATCCGTACATCTCCCCCAAGCACATCATCCAGCGTCCCAAGGTGGTCTACAGTGAGGAGTCGAATCAGTATCATGTATGATCCGATCATCCTCTCTAGCTATGCTTCTTTTAACAGGCATTAGATGTGGTGGCATGCAGATAATTCCACTTATGGATGGCTTCTGCAAGGATTTGCGACTTCCGATAACATCACTGGGCCCTATACATTTGTCGACGCGATGGCACCGCTAGGCAACTGGTCGCAAGACTTTGGGCTCTTCACCGACTACAAGGACGGCCGCTCGTATGCGCTCTACTCGAACGGCGACAGCAAGTATGGACGCGATGTTTACCTTACCGCGTACAACAAGAACGTCACCGCGCTAGAGGAAGTCGTCTACCGGTTCCCGAAGTTTGACCTGGAGGCGCCGACCATCATCCAAACGGAGAAGAGCTACTGGGCGTTGATGAGCCACAAGACTGGTTACCGGCCGAACAGTAAGTGAGCGGGAGTTTTGACGGTAACTGCAATGACTGACCGAGAAGATGTCGTTGCGTTCCGCGCCGACTCGCTCAGCGGTCCCTGGTCCCAGCCGTTCATGGTTGCTCCTCTGAACACACGCACGTTCAGCTCCCAGTCCGGTTTCTCCCTCCGCATTAAGGGGACGAAGAAGACGACATACTTGTATATTGGCGATCAGGTAAGTTTGTCATTGGAAGGATGAATGGAAGGTAACGAGTACAGTGGGACTCCAACTCCCTTTGGGAAAGCCGGTACATCTGGCTTCCGATGGATATCGACGAGAAGAAGAAAACGCTCGACCTTGTCTGGAATGACGTCTATGACCTCAACGTGTATGTCACCAACCAATTGAATGAAGAAATACTGACGGATCTAGGAAAACTGGAGAATGGAAAGCCATCCGCGGCAAGACATACACCGCCAGCAAGGCCAAGACGAACGGCAATGCTTATAAACAGGAAGCTGTATGTCCTTAGCTTTCAGTCCAGCTTCAGTCGTAATGCTAATTGAGTAGAACTTTGCAACCGACGGTGTCATCCTGACAGGGATCTACGGCAATGACAGCACGGTCACCTTTGAGGGCATTGAAGGAACTGGCAAGCCACAATGGGTGTCTTTCTACTACCAGAGTACGTCTCTTTGCTCTGATTACTATCCATACTAATGTTATAGACACCGATGATATGGGTTTCGGCGATCAACGTAAGTTACCCTATCAGCCAGGACCAGTAGCAGAGCTAACAGTACCAGCGGGAGGCTCCCCCGATCGCATCGGTGGCTCATGGCAGCTCCGTCGCATTAGCAGCGTCGTTGTGAACGGGAATACTTCGAATGTGGAAACGCTTTATCAGAGGGACACCCACAAGAGCATCATTCTGTCGGCGCCTCTGCTGCTAACGCTGGAGAAGGGCTCGCATAATACCATTACAGTTGGGGGATTGTACAATGGATTTGATTACAAGGGGGCAGATCTGGATAAGATTGTGGTTTATCCGCCTGAGCATTGACAGTGGTGGTAGTGGGTGAATAAGACTAGATTATGTCCATAAGATGGTTATGTGCTCCTTCAGAAGTCTCATGCGCATAATATCCGTATGATCATCAAGAATTGTATCCACTATCTCAATCTAGATGTAGTAAACCAATGGGTGGTAAGAGTGAAAAGGCAATTATATAGTTACACGGATGAAAGTCATAGACAATTCCTTCCCTTTCCTCGCGGTATAGAAAATCATAACGCAAGATAGAACACATTCACATCTATTCAACTATTTTACTTAAACCCCATTAATTATGATATTATAAGCGAGTGGTAAAAGCTAAAAACGACATTTCCGTCAAGTTATGGTAGAACCATCAAAAGGTACAATGGGATATAAATCTTAACTTCAGTGGCAATATCAACAAAAGGACTGGTACCTCAGTGGTAGAGGGTGAGATTGCAATCGCATCGCAAGATGTACTGTAATATCTTGAGGTCCCGTGTTCGATCCACGGTCAGTCCTAATTTTTTGCCTTTTTTCTTTCTGTTTTTCCGGCCCATCATTGCCAAGACGGCTTCTCCACAAGCATGCAATTAACTGTTAGCTGTGTATTATTAGCGTAGCCTGGCTACAGGATATTTGTACCCTGTCTGAATTTACAGTTGATTTTATTGCTGTTAGTTAAGCAGTTGAGCTTGAATGCCCTACAGCCCCTGTCTCGTTGTTGGATTAGGGGCTGGAACATAGACACAGAGCGCATGATGCACCTAGACGTATTTAGGAAGAGGAGATTGATCCTGTAGGTGCATACCCTGAATGGATAGAAAATTTAATGATGCAAGACCCTATTTTAGAAACATAATCTTGGCTACGACAATCGTGGTGCCAGCAGGGTGCATAGACTAATCTGCATGCTTGTTTAATATGCATCAATATGGCTGCCTGATCACTGTCTGTACATACCAGGAGATACTTGATACACATATTAATTCAGGTCACAAGTAGTTGTTGACAATCAGACCCCGCAGATCATGCAAGGTGAAGTAAAGATTATGATATATGCAATATCATATCACATGCAATTAATATAAGGCCCCCAGTCATCCTCGCCATCATCTTCATCAGTTCGCAACCCACTGAAAATGGACGAGAGGATATACGAATTAGACAGCCAAGGCGACATCACCTTCCTTGTCTACGATGTCCCAGACTCCTTCCCACAAAGCCTAGACCAACTGGACCCCCTCCTGCTAGACGGTTCAACACCAACAACCACCTCACCTTCAGCAGAAGCAGCAGCAGTAGAAGAAGAAACCACACAAAACGAACAACCCCAAGCAATACTCAAAATCCGCGCCTCCTCCAAACACCTCACACTGGCCTGCCCCCAATTCACCCGCACCCTACACAGCGGCTTCCAGGAATCCCACTCCCTCGAAAAAGCTGGCCACCTGACCCTTGAAATCGACAACTGGGATCCCGCCGCCTTTCTCCTGCTCATGCTCATCCTGCACGGGCGCACGCGCCCAGTCCCAAGGAAACTAACACTCAGCAAACTCGTCGACTTCGCCGTGCTGGTCGATTACTACGAGTGCTACGAGGCGGTCGAGGTCTTCACTGATATGTGGATGACGGCACTGAAGAAGCCGACTACAGCGACGTCTCTGACATCGCTGGCGCAGGCCGAGGAATGGCTGTTTGTGTCCTGGGTGTTTCAGCATCGGGAGATGTTTGCACAGACGGGTGGGTATCTGCTGGAGAATTTGACTGGAAGGTTTTGTTCTGAGTTGCCGGTACCGAGGCGAGTATGCGGTATGTTTTAGATCTTTGTTCATGGGTTCGTGGGCAGCGCTGATGCGGCTAGATGCGATTGATCGCGCGCGGGAGGATGCTATAAGCGCGATCCTTGACAGGCTGCATAGTCGGTTCAATATGTTGAGCTCGGACAAGGTGCAGTGCTCGTACGAGTGTGACTGTGCGCTTCTTGGGGCGCTCACGAGACACATGCATCGACTGGGGATTCTGGAGAGACCGGCGCCGCCGTTTGAGGGGATTGCGGCCAAGCAGCTGGCGAAGGACGCGCCAGGGGTGGCGCTGCCGAGGTGGTACGAGCGTGGCGGCGAGATGCAGCATTCTTGTCTCGCGACGCTGGATTTCAATTCTTCGCTGAGAGGTTCGGGTGATGTGGTGAGGGTTGTGGAGTTGGATGGGTTGACTGAGCTGAGGAAGAAGTGACTGACTGCCAACTGTGTAGTTATGTAATTGTTATTCTATTGTTATGTCCATATGCATTACAACTTCATCTGGAACCGTGGATGCGTGCGTATCCTCGCCCCAAACTTCCAAAACAGCATCGGACACAGGCACATTGCCAGCGCAATAAACGCCAGTACCGAATTCCCCCACCCCAGCCCCAGCGACTCATACATCGACGGACCCGCCAGCGGGAGCACCGCACCGATCAACGACCGCAGGACGGTATTCGCGGCCGTCACAGAGGCCGCATGCGCGAGATAGGAATCGACCAGGTAGGTATTCGCCGGCATGAAGACGGTCACGAGCCCAATGGCAAAGACGGCCGTCCCGAGGATTGGCACGATCCAGTGCGCCCCTGCCTCGGCGGACCAGCCGTACCAGAATAGACCCGCGGGGACGAGCCAGCATCCGACCAGCATGGGCGGGAGCCGAGACTCAGGGGTGAAGCAGCCGCGGGCGGAGTGGGCGGCGGCGATGCGGTTGGACACGACGCCGTAGACGACGAGGCCGATGACGCAGCCGAAGCCGAGGCCCAGGTAGGCGAGACCGGCCAGGCCGGGGGAGAAGCCGTACTTGGTTTCGAAGATGGAGGGGATGGTGGTGAACATGAGATAGATGTAGCCGTAGGTGATGGAGCTGAAGAGGGACATGAGGAAGACGATGGGCGAGCGAATGAGCAGCTTGGTGGGGCGGGCGAGCGTGAACAGGAAGATCCCTTTCGTGGGACGCGTCTTGTCATGGATCGAATAGAGCGCTGGGTTGTTGGTTTCCTTGCGCAGAAGGGCGGCTTTTCGGCGTAGGAGGACGGGGGCGTAAGATTCGCGGTAGAGCAACATGCAGCTGACAGTCACTAAGCCGGTCTAGAAAAGCGTTCGTTAGCATCGAGAGTCGATGAGAGGAATGGAACAAACATACCGCGATAGCAATCACCCAAAACACCCAGCGCCATCCCTCCGCTTCGGCTAGGAAACCTCCTGCCACGGGCCCAATGATCGGTCCTAGGATAGCCCCCATAGCCCAAACAGCTATAATGCCGGCGCGTTTCTCCTTGGGAACCATGTCTGCCACCGTCCCCGAACCTATGGTCAATGGACACACACCGGCGACGCCCGCCAACAGCCGGAAGACAATCAGTTGCGGCAGGCTCTGCGCCACAGCACAGGCGATGGTGAAGATGAGGAAGAGGATGTTGCAGGTATGGTACAGAGGAACACGGCCGTACATTTCGGACAGAGGAGCGATCACGAAAGGGCCGACCATGTATCCAAGAATGAAAACAGAGACGACGAAAGAGCCGAGCATGTCGTTGGTAGAATGATATTCGCGCATCGCCTCTCCGACTCCAGGAGCAAACATAGACGAGGCCAGGGGACTGCATCATCTTAGCTGTGCGTCGGATGAATTTGACTAGGGGGAAGGACTCACGTTATGAAGGTATTGACTGCCATCAGCAGCACTTGGCGCGCTTTTTTCTTGACCGGCCAGTTGAAGGGATTGTTGATATCGTTGGGGCCATCCCAACTGACCAAATCCGGGTCTTCAGTGGGGAGGTCATGTTGAACCTGTGAAGTAGAGCTCTCTACCTGCTTTGAAGATACTGCGGTGTCTCTATCCAGGCCTTTTTCCAGGTCGGTGGATTCGCTGGGAGTGGAATCCTGCATGGCGGTGTTCGGATGTTACTTCTTTCGGTCTCCAGCTGCAAGACATTGTGCCAGCACATTCCAACAGAGGCAACTCTACATATATACTGCAAGAGTACCTCTCTAGAGAGGTGAACTGTGAAGGACAATCAATACTTGACTCGATCCCTCACATTCTTCGCATCGGGCTAGCATGGTTGCTTTTTCCTCCTTGCATAGTGCAATCAGCCAATATCATGATTTACCATTCTAATTTTTCAAGCATATGCAGAACCTGGGAGTTTTCCGGCCGAAAAGCCAATCATCTGTCGCGTTATGACTCGCGGGAGTCGGCCACTACGAACCCTGTGAAGCTTTTGGCTGGCGAGCTCAGCTGTTTATCTTTCATGCCTTGACCTCATATTTGTCCCTTGAGCCGGAGTCTCTAGATGACAAGTGCCAGGTTACACTTGACTTTGTTCATGCACGAACTAGTGGGTTTTCAGGCTACTCTTTCAAATCCTCTACGATCGATCCAGAAATGCATACGGCTCGGCGCGTGTGGTGTAACGCCAGAACCCCCTTACTTTGGGGAGAATAATGATCAAAATAGGGTGACAAAAAAAAAATGAAATGACCTATCACCTACCTCATCTGTCAAGCCAAATATCGGACAGCCGCAACGAATCTCTTTCTGACGAAAGCGCTCATGGACGATATTGAAAGATAATCTGGGATGACTCGAGGAGATTGTACTGCCCAACATCTCGCGCAGGCTTAGCAGGGAACTGATGCGATCCGATGTTGATGCCGTAGAGGGTGTATGAGTGCGGCGAATCGCAACCACTAGGTCGAAAGCTAGGTCCTGCATGGTCTTTTCGCCTTTTATGATGAATCTGAAGTACGGCCTGTTCGTACCACGATGATGACACCGCGTCTTCTTTGTGCACATGATCAACATCCTGGGGGCGCGCGCCCGCAAGCTCAACGAGGATCACTTCGAGCCCCTGGCGGACGAGATGGTGCTGCATTTGCCGGTGCCCGCGCCTGAGTATGTGTGGGGCGCGTGCAGCGAGGAGGAGTGGCTGCTAGCGCGGCCGCATGCGCTGTCGCAGACGCTGTATCAGCTGCTGCAGATGAATCGGATGGAGGATGGTTCTGGCGTGTTCGAAGATTGCGCCGGGAGGTTGGTAGTGCAGCTGCAGGGCAGGTAAATCATATATTATAAATCATGTATTTCTTTGTCTTTTATGATGTTACGATTGTCTACGGCGTACGATATGTTACCTAATGATTTGATACTGTCCTTGTGTTTATTTAATAATTCATTCTTTGGTATCACCAGTGGCCATCACTAGATACAAATCATATCAAATACATAACATGAATTCGTCAGGTGTCATTCGCATAACTAGACCAGTCAGATCAATCCATCATCAACGAATACAGGGGTACATACCACTTTAAGAGGCAGTTTTAAATCTGCTGCTTGTGAGCCTCGGCCTTGGCGTCATGCTTGGACTCGTGGGCCTTGTCGCCGAGGGCATCCTTGGCGGCAGAGGCACTGGACAATGTTAGAAACTGCTGCAAGAATGGCTGCAAGATTCTGCAGGAAAGAAGAAACTTACCGAGTGCCAATGGGAGCATTGGAATCCTTGGCGACTTCCTTGTTGGCTTCCTTGGAGGTGCCGTGCAAGGCCTGCTGCACGCTCTCGCTGACGTAGTTGGCACCCTGCTTGATGGACTCCATTGTATTGGTTGTATTGGGTTGTAGATTGGGTTGGATTAAATTGAGTAGTAGATGGTTCGATTGATTGATTGATTGATTGTTGCTTGTTGATGAAGAAGGACATAAGAGGACGAAATATGAGGTTTTATATAGGTGGTACGGCATGATGATGTCATCTATACAGGACCCGAAATGTCGTGATGTCATCGAATCGAGCCAAGTATTGGATGCGCAACATTCAGGAATTAGCCTCGCAAAACAAGATTGGCTGATAAACGCTATTGAGTCATTCTGAATTTAGGAATTATGGTACCTAGGCTAGAGGTTAAGTCATACACTGCTTGCGTACCAGCCACATCTGCTATTAGCAGTAACCATATAGTAAAAGTAGACGTCAGCGGAGGAAGCCATCCCCAAACAACAGACTTGGCTCCAGTCCCTTGCCAGTCTCCTCGGCTTGCACTAGCCTTCCGACCTCGGCAAGATTATGTTTCCCGGGTAGATCACAGATCTTCCCCAGTAGCGCTAGAGTAACCACTGGGTCGTGCACGGATTCACATGCAGCCGTTCTACCATAATGATACTGTCTCCGCTCCCTGGTTTCCAGGACGGAGGCTGCGCCGTGGATTACGCTGGACGTAGCTGATGTTGCGGTGTCGCATGTGTATGTCTAATAGGCGTAGAGATGGCCCGCGCAACCCCAGATCGAAGGAGACGCAACTTGAACCTCCAACTGCCGAACCATATCGGCCGATAAGGTGACTGCAATGCTGTGCTTTGGACCCTGATTCTGGCGCCGGAGTATTCTCGGTGCCGGCGGGGATCTCCACGAGGCGCAAGATAGTAATCCTGGATCGGTAGTCGAAGATGACGTCGGTTGCGTCATTGGATCAGCTTGGCGGAGAGGTACTGGAGAAGATGGAACGAGTCGGTCCACCGGCCAGCGTCCGCACTCGCTCACGTTGGACGCAAGACCAAGTCCAGCAGTAGCGCAAATGGGTCGACCAGTTGCCGCGGCGTGTAGAGCCCGGACTAGAGGCCCTAGGACTCGCGAGGTGTCCTTGCGTGCGCGCCGACGTCAGGCTGGACGGCAAATACTCTGGCCGATAAGGATATGGCCTGTCTATCTGGCAACGAGACCGGATAGCGGAAATGCGGTGTTTGCGGTGCCTTTCATGACAGAAGCTCTGTCATGTCGTTGAAGGCCATCTAAAGGACAATCCCAGGGACAGCCAGACTCGGACGAATCGTGCCATTCATGCGTAGCTATACCGACGACTGGAGGACGGAAGAAAGCCTATGTTGCAGGACCTGACAAATGCGCATCAGTTTGTGCTTTCCCGGCTGCTTGTCTCCGTCGTCTGCTGGAGTCCTTAGGCGCCGGAGTTCGTGGTCGTTTGACAACCACCAGCTCCGGCGGCCACAACAGATGTCTGTTAAAACAGATTCCGCTGTCCAGACACTGTTTTAACTCTTAAAATACGTGCACAGAAGCACGAACAAGACTGAATGCTGGATGTGGAGTGACGGTGGTGGATGCTATATCTGCAGTTGTCATGAACTCCTTCGAAATCATTGGAGTCTTTTTGAGGAAAGTACAGCACCAATCTCTCACATAGCCACCCACGACACCATCGACCTGGCCGCCACCGATTTCGCAGCCCAGAAAGAATGAACCGGCCACCGCACGCCCTCTCCATCGACGAGCGGTGCCGACTCTTCGCGGCCCTCCGCGACTCTGGCTTCCATACGGGAATAATCTGGACTAAACCACGTTGTTCGGACGCGTGAATCCAGATATGCTGGTGTGCCACTGGATGCCCGGGTAACGGAGACGAGCCGGGCCCGCTTCGAGCCCGATGTGGCGGACGAGCATGTCAAGGCGCGCGCGAAGCAGTTACATATCGTAGACCATTGAAAGCGAAGCGCCGAGCTGCTGAGACGCAGTCAGTTTTACGAGTGCGTCGGCTTGAGACCATGGGACTGTCGATGCGATTGATGAGAGAGACATGTCGGGATTCGCAATTGGATCAGGTGAAATGCATGACAAAAAGTTGCAACTCCCATTTCATCATTGCTCGTTCTGCTCCTCGAACCGGTCTACATGTGCCGTATGAAACGGGAAACTCAGTGAATATGCCCATGACCCGTTAAGCGTTATATAAATCGTCAGGTTACATACAATCCACTACATCAAGTTGACCCCGCTGATTTACGCAAATTGCTCCAGCGCACAGAGAATGATAAACGACCGCAGCTCATTCGAGTCGGCAAACCCCGCATTCGTCGCGCAATTCGCCCGGAGATCGTCCTTGGCGAACTTGGAGAACAGCACTTCGAGCGAGGGTTGGTATTGGGCATTTGGGAGCTGCTCACCGACCGGGATGTCACCAGCAGGGCCCAAGGTTGAAAAGGCGTCGCTGATGCCTGGAGAGCCAGGGGGCGCGGGCGTGGACTTGCGCCACTCGTCTTCGGTGCGGGCGCTCCACAGTCCTTGATCGCAGGGTAGAGGCATCTTCATAATGAGCTCATCGTTGAGGGGCTCGTAGTAGGGCGACTGACGCCCGGAGTTGAGATCGCGGTTGTTCAAGAAGTTGACAATGTTGGCGAGGAAGATGGTGCGGCGCGCGGTTTCGGCCACGGCCCATTTGACCCACGATTGAGTGGAGTTGGCGTTGGCCGCGGGCAGGAGGGCCGTGTCGTGCGACTCGAGGTAGGACCGCGAGAAACACTGGGTCATTTTTGAGAGGAAGGGCGATTTCAGCCCTTTTGTGCGGCGCCTGCGTTTCCAACTCTCGGATTTGTCGACGGGCGGAATGCCCATCTCGAGGATCTCGTAGAGGAGCATTGCATGCAGCGCATCCCACTGTTCCATGCAGTGGTAGGTGGGCTGGCCTGTCAGTATGACCCTAACACCTGAAAGAAGTGCTTACATATGACTCAATCAAGCTTTGTCGTTGCGCGTCCATGGCTCGCTTGACGTAGCCCGCGGCATCTCTGGAGCCCAAGGCACTTCCGCAGCAAATGGCCATGGACGTGTGCGGCAGAATCGTCATGTCCGCGACTTGCTCGGTGAACAGAGTGCGGTGAACGAACGGACAGTTGAAATCATCCTGAAGCAAGAGTCTCGGATACTGTGCAAGCAGACGGACGTAGTTGGGCGGCCGCACCCCCAGCACGTCGGGACTGCCACCCAGACCGGTGAGGGCGGACGTATTGGGGATCGCTGGATCTGGCGGCACCATGGAAATCTCGACCGGCGTACTGTACGGTTGCGACGGAGCCGGGGCCAGTGGTAATGTGAAGCTTGGATGGCTGGTCGGGACTGCCGGTGTCGGATCCAAGGTGACTTCGCCGACTAAGCCTGCTGACGAGGGCAACGAGGGGAAACCGAGGGTATCCATGGTCCAGACGAAGTTCTGGGAGCTCCACGAGTCGAAGCTGTCGGCGTCGGGACCACCCAGCATGCTTCGAGGGCTCCATAGCGACGGGAAGTCTGGCGTGTTCACGCGGGTTTCATCGGGTCTAGGACGATCTCTGGTCGACGGGGACGAGGAAGAGTCGGAAGAATCAGAGGGAATGGCGCCTGCTGTGTTGGCCGCCGACACGTATTCGCATGAGATGCCCCGTTTGGCACATCGCGAGCAAGTCGGTTGCGTGCAGCAGCATTTGGTCTTGGCCAACACGCAGGCATTGCACGCTTTGCGGCGTATCTTAGGTTTGTTCGACCGGAGACACCGGCGTCGATGGCGCAAGAGGAGGTCACCTGGAATCCATCGGTCTAGACATCAGCTCAGACGCAAGAAGATGGAGACTCAACAAACGGCGGAGACAAACGTCGTTGGTAGGTTTTGAAGCAAGAGTCACACTGGTGAACGTCGTTGGATGACTCGGATGCCGGCATGGTCGAAGGGCGGCATCAGGGAGACAGAAGACAGGAAATAACAAATAAGCCGGGGATTGTCAGGTTAAATGAATAGACTCGTGTCAGAGAGTAAGCCAGAGAATCCGACATATCCTGTTTTTCGATCTTCTCGATCCTTCTATGTCTGTAGCCTTGGTTCGAAGAAAGACGGGGTATTGGTAAGAAGGACAGACAATGAAAAGGTGAGATTTACGAAGGATCCGAAGCCATCCCCTGTGTGGTAAGCGCGGGGTCTAGCATTGATTAATCAAGTGCAATCAATGTAACATTGGCTATCTTCCTGGCTTATATCAGTGGAGCTATTATTACCTGCGAGTCAAAAGTCCCGTTTGTCCCGTCTGCATTATTTGCCCGTCCTTAGTGCTTATCTATTACCACACGGCTGTCCTTCATGCGTTTGCGACAGAAGAAAGTAGAACCCGTGGGTCAACGTCGCTCGAGTTTCAATTTCAAGATCGCACTGGGAGCGCTCGGCACATTTAAGGAACTAGAGTCTAGATTTGCGGGCCGCGAATCATGATCCACTTGGACCACTTTCTGAGGTGACAGTGAATTAGGAGAAGTGGTATAGTGTTCCTATCTGGTGAAAGCGCGCAACTGAGGCTTGATGTTTTGGTGTATGGTTTACAAAGCTGCCTTCTTGTCTACTTGAGATTATAGCTAACTTTTATTACTATTTTCCCAACCCATCATGGTCTTCTAACTCAAGTACTAAGGCATTTTTGCTATTAGACTGAGACTCCGATGTTCTATACTTTGCCACCTCCTTTTATGCCTTTGAGTTGTCGCCCGCCTGATGGTCCGTACTTTCTGTGTGAATGGAAATTCTGCTTGCCTCAGGGCTTACTAACTGTTGATTCTTTTTTTTTATAGATAGTGCAGCATGAATTACATAGAATTAGTGCTATAGACTTTCATGAGTGAACTAACATGCTTTCTCCCTCCTATACCTGACACACAAAAGACATCAGTGAAGGATTAAAGTTGTAATCCACTATATGATGGCAAGCCGGGCTAGAGGATCATTGTACTCAATCTAATAATCCAAGGGTGCTCCTGCCAAAGGGCAACGGCACTTGGTGGATGACAAGACTAAGGGTGTTCTGCGCTAGGTAATACAATCTGTGCTGGTCAAGTCTAAAGAAGAGTGACCAATGAGATGCTTTCTCTGTATCAGAAAATCCTGATCTCCCACTGAAGAACCGTCCAAGTTATCCAGTGGGCTTCTCCGGAATTAAATATTACTACCACATCCAGCAGTCGCCATTCTGCCGAGGTTGAGAGACAGCCAGGCTCTACACTCATCAAGGGCAACCATACAGAACTGACCCCTGTTCAGGTGGCTCAATTACCGCCCTGTTCCTTCACTTTCAAACCGCTTGGCAACACCTTTCTAGGTGTTTAGCAAGACATCATTCTCATCAGCAGACAGAAGACTATATCAACTATATAAAAAACAGGGCAAGATCTAATATAGATGGCATTGAATGCTCAATCCACTCACCATCCCTGCAGCCTGACTCTATTGCAGACACATTAAGCACTGCCAACCTTCCTACACTGCATAAGTAATGAACTTGGGTCCTCAACTACTTAATACAATCCCTGAGATTCTACTGATCGACCCGCAGTTAACGCAAGATTGTAACTCGTCGATCTTTGGACATGCCTCATGATTTCCACTAATAATGATAGGTCATGCAACAACATTTCACCAATGTCCAGAGTAACTTGTTTTTGTGTTGGTTGCATGAAACGCATCTTTTATGGCGAATAGTCATTAGGGTGTTTTTCTACGACCCTGGACTCATACCTTCTCTGCCAAACAAGATATGAGTAACAGCAGTTTGCGTCAAGAATGCGTCGGAACATATTCGTCGGAAGAACAGCAACAAATCATCCGCAAGAAGCGGATCTATTGAGCTTCTTGAGAGGGAAGACTCAGTGGAACAACCGTGAATCGCAGCGCTGTTATCCAACTGTGCTATGGGAGGAAATCAGAAAGATCATTAAGGAGGATGGAGAGCTTGAGCTTCACCTATGTTTCGCAGGGGCGCTCGCCTAGATTTCACATGGTTCCGTGAAAGAGATTGCTTCTACTAGTCGTCTCTCTCGTCGAATTGAAAGACAATGCACAGCAAGAACAGAGAAGAAGACTGCAGTTCAAGCAGCAGGACCGGCCCATCCGCAAATACGGTGTAATGCATAATGTAACCCGCACTTCGATTTAGGGAGAACAGAAAATGTCGGGCTGACCAAGTCATTAGCTAGACTTTATTTGAAACCGAGAAATAATCATGAATATTGTATGACTAACATTAGATACAAAACAAGGTACGTAGTGCCTACATGTTCATCATGGAAACCGGCCTCTGTATGGCGCAAATTTGCTAGCCAGCACCTGCTGTCTCATATTCTCATTTGCTCCTCGACGTCGAATCAAATCATCAAAGAATCTCTCAAGTTTTCCAACTTCAGAGACTAAGATCTCGCCCTTGGCACTTTAACTTTTGCTTCGCACATAAATTAATAGTTATAGGAGTTCCAATACATAGCCTAAGCTTTGTGCAGCAGGGAGCCGCGACCTAGCGCACCATGACACTGTTGATAGTATGGCTTGGACTTCCAGGTTGGTTGAGCCTTTTTAAGAGGTCCGCTCACTATGTTCTCAAGACTTGGTATGAAAGACTTCGGCGAAGGGCTGAAGGCGCTAGACATAATGAGCCAAAAAAAGCCGGTGAACTAAAAACATACCAGGGGTCAGCAAAGCCTTCGATATTCATCTCCCCGTCTTACATATTGCTAGTCAGCAGGTGCGTACTTGGAAAAGGCTTTCAGTTGCTATTAGAACACAAAGAGAATTTCCGCCAGCGGATCTTTCCAGAATGTCCTGTTGCATGGTGGTAGCGAGGGCTCCGAAATGAGGCCCCAATCCAAACCCACCGGACTCCTGGCTCTGCCGTATTCCTTATACGCAAGAAGGGCGGAATATGAAGCTGGCAAAAGAATTAAGACCACAAACCAGAGCCACCAGGTACCATACCCTAATTCAATCCAGTTTTGAGCTGATTTTTTGAGCGAAAGAAGAGCTGACTTTCGTCGCATGAACTCTAGGAAAAGATAGCAAACCAGATGGATAATAGGGGGAATAATGAGCAGCAACGCGAACACCGTATAAACTAGCAGTCCCGGGCACGGCTCGGGCTTGCTTATGACACATCCTACTGCGCCGGTCAGAAAGGTCCAAAACCCTGGACTGAAAGGCGTCGAGATTCCAAGAGCAATCATCAGTTCGTTTAACAAATCAGTCTCCACACTGTACTCAAGAGCGTTTTGGTTGGGATTGCCCCAGCCGAGGAGACCGGTTGTGTCAAGAATGCGTCTCTCGTGCACAGTCTCGGCCACCGGCGAGGACCGAAGCACTCGGCGTTGTCGCAGAATGTGTCTACCTTGTTCAGACGAGGTCGCTCTCATTACACCCCTCTCATCTTCACGCTGGTTTCTTGCTGGCCAGCTAACAGGGCCTGAATAAGAAGTACCCGTATCATACGTCCGATGGCGAAGCGATCGTGCTCGGGGATCAACTTCCCATTTGATGTTCTTTCGCGTGATAAAAAGAGAAAAGGACTGAACGACAAATGATCCGCAAGCCAATGTGCCATTGATTATATCAAGGTGCGCGCAAGCAGTTTTACTGACTCGACGGAAGTAGAGAATGGACGTCATCAGAGCCTGAAACCATCCAATGGCTAGCATAAAGATCCTGCCAAACCACCATATATTACGTGGCAGGCTTCGCTTCTGAAGATCACGTGGATCAACGAAGATCAGCGGAACGGAGCCAACGAGACGGTCATCATCCGGGAGAGAAGGAGGGTTGTCGAACGTTGCCCACATACCGACGCAGGCCGAGAGACGATAGGACCATGACATACCAGGCTGCTGGCGGATGCGTTCTCTTGTGAAGATCCTCAATGCACGCCATATGAAGAGAGCTGCGACGCTAATAGGAGAGCAAGCAAAGACAATCATCAAAAAGGCCGCCAAGGCGGTATGAGGGACTCCAGAAAGAGACATGTAATGGCCGAAAAGGGCGAGTGGAAAGATATGAATGGAGAGGCTTTTAAGGACTATATCCGCCACTGAACGCAGGTTTCCATCACCAGGGGGGATGTAACAAGCATGATCAAGCGCCATATTGTACGCACATCAGCCATATTGTTTAAAACAACTTTCTCAGGGAGCAATTGCAAGAAGCTGCAACTATGAGCAAAATACCACTGACTGGAACGATAGTTAAGCTTACATCACTCGAAGTGTACCTCTTCGTACTATCTATACCAGTTGATGACGCCAATGACTGTAGAGCCCATATTCTGGGCGGCATCTGACGTACCATGAAGATTGAAATCACATGACTTGAGAAAATACCCCTAATTACCAAGTAATCATGCAGCTATTTAATATAATTCCTAATATGCTCTAAGTAACAACAGGCGCTGGACCCTGCCAAGTTAAAGAGTTTCATGAGCCGCTCAGGTGGCAGACTGAGCAATCGCCAGATTGACGGTGGAGAGCTATTATTGATCGCTCTACACCATTTCAAAATGGAGCGCCTGGTCTCCAGGAAGGAGTACCTGCCCAATTGTCGCATGCATTGGAACTGAACACATGTCAATGATATTTTGTCTCTTGCCGCCCAGCCCTGTTGCCTTGCCTAATTTCCAGCGCAAGGCTGAGACTTGCTGGCTGATTATAATCTGGGATCTGACCTTGATATATCCCGCTCTCCAGGTTTCCCTAGGTAGAGAGAAAGTTAACAGACTTCCGCTTCGCCTCCAATATCTTTGGGAAATTATCAGGCCAGCAATATTAGAGCAGCTCGTAGCTCCATCTTGCCTACACCACCATAGCCATGCCTTGCCCCCTCGCGAGAGGAGTTCTAGGTCGGAAGGTTCTGCGACATACCTATCGCGGCAGCAGCAGCTCAGGAACCTCCCGATGAGGGTTTGGAGTTCTCGAGGAACAGATGCAGCCGATCCGACCATCTACACCTTGGACCGAATCGGCGAACCTTATGTTGTGACTGCCTGCCTGCCCGAAGGAACATGCAGGACCGCTAGTTCCAAGGTAGATGGATCTCGGTGCATGAAGCTAGCGGTATTAACCTAAAAGGAGCTGTAATCCCAGTTGATAGCAGGGCACTGCTAAGGATAGGACCTTCTTATTTTTGTACTAATGTAACTTACAAGATTGACCTTCTAGAAGACGCTCGCATTGATAATGACATTAATAATAGAGGATATGCTGAAAGAAGCCTTTCAATCTGATAGAGGAGGAGTTGACAGAGACTCAGCAACAGTTCTGGGTGCCGTAAATTAGTATCTCTCGCGGTGATACTGGCCGGGCTACTTGATGGGACGAATTCATCAGGCGAGCATCCTCGGAAATGGGAAGACAACAACCTTCAAGCGTAGAGATCTACCATTTGCAAGAGGGTGATGTAGAGATCCAAATCTGAACCGAGGCGGGGTAATCCGTCAATGATTGCCGAACTATCCATGGCCCATGGCAATATGACAGGTCCCATCCGCGACGTAAAGCAAACCAACCAGAAGCTTTAGCTCCTGTTTTTCTGGAGCCGGTCATGCGCCATGAACTTACGCCTTCCAATTGTTAGTCCCGTATATTTTAGACTCATGGGTTCGAGGCGCAATCAAAACCATAAATAGAAGTAATACTATTTACGCGTGCGGCTGAGCTGTATTATGTCCAACATCTGCTAGATTCTGAAACGCAAGGCTTAATTAGCAGCTGTGTCTGCATCATGCCCCTTTTCCTTCTCCCTTCTAATTAGATCACTTGCAATCATACCCTCTCTTGACCACAATTCGTGTCGCCCCTCACCACTGACTCTATCCTGAGTTCTCTTGAATCAAAGTAAGGCTGCCTAGCCTCGCCCTAATCACCACCGACTAAACAAGCATACACAACCAGATCGAATCGCCGAGTTTAGATTACCATTGAAAGCGAACCTGCATAAATATATCATCAATATATGTCATTCACAAGCCAACAACCGCATCGCCCAAACCCGTAACATCCAGACCGATCCAGAATGTCAGGAGGGCACGGGGGGATCAGTGATGACAAAAATTCTGCCTCTAGCAAGACAGATAGTAACAATACGGACTGCGAGTCTCGGTTGATGGAGCTAACGCACAGTGATTACACTGTGGGATGGATCTGCGCGCTGTCAAAAGAGCAGACAGCAGCAACAGGAATGCTAGATCGGATACATTCTCCTCTACCAAAGCCGTCAAATGATCCCAACGCGTACACTCTAGGATCTATTAGGAAGCACAACATCGTCATAGCCTGCTTACCCAAAGGAAAGTACGGCACTATGTCAGCATCGATGGTCGCGACCTGGATGGTTAACACTTTTCCTTCCATCAAGGTCGGGCTCATGGTTGGTATTGGCGGTGGTATTCCGCCCAAGGTTAGACTCGGGGATGTTGTGGTTAGTGTGCCCGTTGACCAGTTTCCTGGAGTTGTCCAGTGGGATATGGGCAAGGCGGAGGGTGGTGGCACCTTCAAAAGGACTGGTGCCCTGAATAATCCCCCGAGCGCGCTGCTGACAGCGCTGACAAAACTGGAGACTCAGCATGAGATGCATGGCTCTAAGATACATGATTATCTTGATGATTTGGGAGAGAAATATCCCAATCTAAGGTCAAAGTATACTTGGTCCGATGCCCTCAAGGACCCGCTATTCACCCCCGAGAGTTCTCATCGTCCTCGGAGCAGATGGCAAGGCATACTTTTTCAACTTTTGGAGATAATCTGGGCTCTACTCAGCTGCCTCTTAGGCTGGTGGGTGTTTGCTCCTATAGATCGTGGCGCGGAGCAGGTTGCAAGCAGAGCACATGATGAGTTAGTCAGGACTCGGGGCAGACCTGGGAATACACGCGTGCATTATGGTCTGATCGCATCTGGTAACCAGGTGGTCAAGGACGCTGAGCTTCGTGACAGCCTTGACGAGAGTCTCGGCGGAGATGTGTTGTGTATTGAAATGGAGGCGGCCGGGCTCATGAATGGTTTCCCATGTGTTGTTATACGGGGTATCTGTGATTATGCCGACTCGCAAAAGAGCAAAGACTGGCAGGAATATGCTGCAGCCGTCGCTGCGGCGTACGCGAAGGAACTTCTTGAATATGTGCAGACGAGTGATGTTGACGGACAGCGGCCAGTGAAGGACATTCTAGGCAAGGGTTAGTAATTTCCAAGACCTATATCAAGTTAATAACAATCTTCTAACGATATGAATAGTTCTTGACACTTTGCAGAGAACTGAGGCCAATATTGAAACATTGAGGTCTAAGTTGGATAGAAAAGAAGACCTTGAGGTCCTCAATTGGCTAACGCCGGTCGATTATGGTCCTCAGCATAGTGACTTCTTGAAAAGACGGCAATCAGGAACTGGCCGATGGTTTTTAGAGTCTGCTGAGTACCAGACTTGGCTAAGCGCGAAAAATCAGACGTTATTCTGTCCAGGTATTCCTGGGGCAGGGAAAACAATTCTGACTGCAACAGTTATTGACGACCTCACTACACGGTTCCTGGATGATCAATCCATTGGGATTGCGTACATTTACTTCAACTTCCGCCGGCAAAACGAGCAGAAGGTCGAAGACTTACTTGCGAGTCTACTAAAGCAGCTGAGTCAGGAGCAGCCTGCCCTACCAGATAGTGTGGGCACTCTTTACAAGAAGCATAAAGACAAAGGGACTCGATCATCACTTGACGAAATTTCAGAAGCTCTTCGGTCCGTCGCAGCTAAATATTCGAGGGCATACATTTTCATTGACGCTCTTGATGAATGTGAAGTATATGGTCGCCGAACGAAATTCTTAGCAGAGATATTCGACCTCCAGGCAAAATGCGCTGTAAACGTCTTTGCCACTTCCAGATTCATCCCGCAAATAACCGAGAGATTCAAATGCAGCATGACATTGGAAATCCGTGCATGTGATGAAGATGTGCGAAAATACTTAAAAGATCGGATATTACAGTCGGAATCGGCCATTTTGGTCCCAGTCAGCGAAGAAATCCAAAGCGGCATCATAAACGCCGTAGATGGGATGTAGGTGAAACTCACATCATACTACGCTTAGTAGACTAACCATGCGCCAGGTTTCTCCTAGCACAGCTTCACTTTGACTCAATAAAATCGAAAAAATCAATGAAAAAGGTCAGGGAAGCTATAAAGCACCTTCCAAAGGGGGCCGAAGCATACAATCATGCATACAAGGATGCTATGCAGCGAATTGAAGGGCATGATGTAGATTCTCAGAATCTTGCAAAGGATGTCTTATCGTGGATCGTCTGCGCAAAGAGACCGCTCAATACATCGGAACTTCAGCATGCTCTTGCTGTGGAAGCTGGCAAGTCTGAACTTGATGAAGATAACCTTCCACTAATTGAGGACATGGTCAGTGTTTGTGCTGGATTGGTTACAGTCGACGAAGAAAGCAGCATTATCCGATTAGTTCATTATACTACTCAAGAATATTTCCAGCAAACACAGAAACTCTGGTTTCCATATGCAGAGGATAATATCACGGAAATTTGCGCTTCTTATCTCTCATTTCATGCTTTCGAAAGTGGGCCTTGTCATTCATCTAATGAGTTTCAGCATAGGCTAGACCTATACAAGCTCTACGACTACTCTGCAAAGAACTGGGGACATCATGCTCGCAAGGCCTCCATTTCATGCCCAGAACTCATCAGGTTTCTAAAATGCAAGACGAAGCTAGAGGCGTCAATTCAGGCACTAAGGAATGAGTGGGAGTATTCATCTCCTCGGATAAAAGTGCAGATGACAGGGCTGCACTTGGCGGCCTACTTTGGCCTGGAGGGAGCGGTTAATACTCTCCTGTCTGAGGAGGTCGCAACAACCGTACAGACCACTGATGGTCAAGCACTGCCAGATGCTAGGCTGGACTTAAAGGACGGTGTTCAGTGTACACCGCTATCATGGGCCGCAGAGAATGGGCACGAAGCAGTGGTCAAGCAGTTACTTGACAAGGGCGCTGACCCAGACTTAGAGGACCTTTTTCAGCGTACGCCGCTGTCATGGGCCGCAGAGAATGGGCATGAAGCAGTGGTCAAGCTGTTACTTGACAAGGGTGCTGATATAGACACAATATCCCTGGATGGTCTAACACCATTGTCATGGGCCGCAAGATACAGGCATGAAGCAGTGGTCAAGCAGTTACTTGAGAAGGGTGCTGACCCAGACCTAAAGGGTAGAAATGGCCGAACACCACTGTCATGGGCCGCAAAGAATGGGCATGAAGCAGTAGTCAAGCAGTTACTTGATAAGGGCGCTGATATAGACACAAGGGATGAGGATGGTCAAACACCACTGTCATGGGCTGCAGAGAATGGGCATGAAGTAGTAGTCAAGCAGTTACTTGATAAGGGCGCCAGCCCAGACCTAAGGGACAGATATGGCCGAACACCACTGTTAAGGGCTGCAAGAAAAAGGCATGAAGTAGTGGTCAAGCAGTTACTCGATAAGGGAGCTGACATAGACACAAGGGATAAGATTGGCCAAACACCACTGTCATGGGCTGCAAGATACAGGCATGAAGCAGTGGTCAAGCAGTTACTTGAGAGGGGTGCTGACCCAGACCTAATGGACGATTATGGTCAGACACCACTGTCACGGGCCGCAGAGAATGGGCATGAAGCAGTGGTCAAGCAGTTACTTGAGAAGGGTGCTGACCCAACGACAACTATAGCTTCTACCGGGATTTGTGTGGTTTAGAGATTCTGTAACGCAAATTGACAATGTATTTACAGATGTCTGAACGAACACAAGAATCGAGTTTTCCTAGTTCGTTCTTCAGAAATCGATAGGAACAAAGATGAGACAGGCGTGGAAGTGCATGGGCAAATTTTGAATCGGATCCTTGGGGTGCCTGAAAGCTTCAAATTGTCGACTGCCACTAAGACCTGGAATGATTTGCTCGAAAATTCACGTGCAGTTCTGCAGGTCCTAGAACCGGATGTTGGGGGTATTCAGCTTCTGAGAGCTTCCACCACTCAGATTAGCAAGGGCATAGGTACTCTGGGCCCCTGCGTAGGACGAATTCCCTATAATACCCAGTCGGCTTCTTCTTTCCCACAAAGCCCAGACCAAAAATATAGCGGCAATGACACCAAGTGGAACACCCACACCAACTCCAACTGCAACTTCATGCGAGGAGGAACCGTGAGAGTTGGCACTACCTGACGTATTCGAAGTCGGCGAAGCTGTTGGAGACGTTGTGTTGGTAGAGCCGTCGATCTTGGTGTAATCGGTGAGCGTTGCCATTCTTGCGATCATTGAAGCAGAATCAACCTCAATGGGGTTGAGACCTTGGTCGCAGAGCGGCAGACTCCCATTAGGATTATTGACACTAGAGTTGCAGCAATAACCTAGAGGCCTCCTTTGAGTAAAATGAAGAGGTGCATATCCACTGGAACTGTTGTATTGGAAGTTTCATGGTCTGCATATCAGGCAAAAGATCAGCTGTATTGAGTGTCTGCTAATCATTAAGATAACGTCAAAATGTACAACGGAGCTTGGGCAACAGGTCATTGAAATGAAATGAAGTCAGAGCAGGTAATATATGAGGAGGTAGGGTTAAAAGAACTGACTGACAAGGAGAATCCTCGCAGTGTTATGGCAAGAGAATGATGTATCATCCCTAATATGGTTTTAGAGATGAAAGTCTCTTCTCTTTCAACGGTCATGGAGAATGCTCAGAAAGCTATGGCGCCAGCTCCTGAGGTTCACTGTATCGATTCTTTGCTACTGCCACTTGCATGTATGGATCTGAGCTCATCGGCATCATTGAGGGCATTGAATTCAAAAGCTGTTGTCGCTTTCTCCGCTCATAGACACCCCATATCAGTGAAACGAGAGATACAACCCCCAGCGAAACACCAACGCCTACGCCAACGGCGAGCGTTTTCGAGTCACCACTTCCGTGATCGGATATGTTGTTATTGGCGTCGCTAGCACTGTTTGTTGGACACCTGGAAGGAGAAGAGGACGAAGTGCCGGTGCTGGACGCGGCGTCTTTGGTCGTCGCCATGCTGGGTTCAGCAGAGCAGGAAGTATTCGCCAGGGCAGCTTTGTTAGGAACTATATTGCCAAGGGGAACCTGAATCGGGCTCTGGCTGTTCGCGCAGCCTATACTGTCGGATGAATTGGCGACGATGGAGTTCGGGCAATACAGGGCGTTGCCCCCGTCATTGCTGTAAAGAACAATAGAGCATGCAGTGTTTCGAGTATTTAGTACTACACAGTTTGGATGTTAGGTATGTTATGATGCTGGCTGAACGGGACTCTGCTGGCACTTATACGCACATCCAGAACACATATCTTTACATGCCGATGAGGGAGACCATTCAGCGTCGGTGCAGGCCCCGCGATAAAGTGTGTATGGCTGAGCCGCCGACATACAGTAGCCATTTGTCAGACAGACAGAGTCAGGTTTACAACATGGTGACCCGCTGCTTCCAGAGAAGCATGGTGTATACTCATCAGCAAAGCTTCCGTCAGGGAAATAACAGCTCTGGGCTCGACAGAGGCCCACAAGTAAAAGTGTGTACAAGAAAGGCTGCGAAGGCATTGGAAAGAGTGGCGAAACTGCTGTAGGTTCAAATATACATAGAGGAGAGAAAAGCTGTGAGGCATAAGTAGAATAGGATGGTACCGGAAAGTTATTTAGAAGAGGCTAGAGGTCAGCCTAAACGCTGATAGCAAGGAAGCGCCAGGGCTCTGTGACAACCAAGCAATACCATTACTAGTTTGAGCATGGTTTGATCACTGGGATGTTCTACCATCTCTGATTTAGCTGGCTGAAACCCGCCGTTGTCTTTAGTCCTTGTAGATGGCCCGCTAGCCATGCACCTGGACGAAGAGGGCGGCATGCTTACACCAAGATGTATGTTGACTACGCCGCAAAATCATAGATCACAGTTTCATAGACTAAAGCTCATAGCTCAAATAATATAATGGATCAGGTGGGTCACATGAAGCATTGATGGGGGCCTTCACGCTATACAAGCTATCATGGAGCAAGAGTCGTGTAGGTTAAGGAGCATTGAGATTTCCAGTGTTCCCTGATAACATCTTTCTTTTCAGTGCCCTATGGCGATTCAGAGAATCATGTTTTACAATTCATTGTCGATCATTATCTCAAAGTTGTTGAATGCTTGGGTTGGTAGCAATATTTGAGTTTTTCTGCTGCGCCTGCCGGAACCTGGCCAAATCTTTGCTGGCATGAGATGGTCAAATACTAAGGATGTAACCTCAAATTTGAGAAGTTTGAGAAGAGAGGATTTGCGGAGTAATAATTAGTGACCATTAGCGATATCGAGTGACTTTCACTGTTGTCATTGGCCAGGTATGATGTACTTTGGCTCCTTACCAGTTACAACAGTGGCCTGGTTCTTAAATTGTGATTCGGTTCAAGCCGTTGCTGTTACCCGCATCATTTGGGAGATCACAGAGTTAGGGGCGGTTACGCCCCTTTTCTTAGCTGGAAATCACCCAGAAGCTAAAGGTGTAGCCGGTGAAACTGGCAAATAGAAGTTCAATCATTTGACTTGTGGATCTGCGACTTCGTAACTAATATCACTTTAATTCGCGCCCTCCCAGTAGCTAGATTACGCAGGCGCCTAAGAGAAGTTTGCAGCCCCTTCTAGCTTTGAAAATAAAGCGATCCCACGTAGTCCATCACAATGCCGACACGCTGAGGATTGGTCCCTCCACAAGACCCTGGTCGTCGTCGAATGATTCAAATAAGCCAGGATATTGTGGACGTTTGGTCGATGCCAATCTCTGCTAGCGCCGAGGGATTCGAACCCGCCCTATGATCTTCGATTGATTCTTCTTCATTGCCGCCGAGATCTTGTCTGATCCCTTAGACATACTTAGATATCCCATCTAGCAAAAAAGGAAGAAGGGTGTCCAAATCTAAGCTTACCGGTGACGTCCAGTGGATGAGCTTTTTTCGTCCCTTTTGGCTCGGTCTCAACCGAGAGCTTAGCTAGTTGTGGGTTCACCCGTTGATCCCTACGCCGAAGGTCCGGAGGCGCTTTTTCTGCTCTCAAGATATCGGCCTGCATCGACAAGAGTTACTGTTTACTAGTCTACTTTTTGGACAAAGCGACTCGGCGTTTACTTCGCCTTTGCCCCTCGTTCCGATCGAATGCTGTTATCGCGAAACTAGTTCGTAAAAGTAGTTCATCAGGATGGCCGTTCGACGGGCTAGGGGAAGGATATTCCTCCTCTCCCAACTATGTTTCTCCATAGCATCAAGAACACTTCGCCAAAGAAAGGTCGCGTGATGGCTGTTCCGGTGTGAAACCAGAAGTAGGAGACATACTACATGGTCGAAATCATTGGCTAAGTAGCCTGGTCCTTTGAATCCAGATACGGTCGTCTAGACAGTGCGACTTCTTTCACTTAGTCAACTTCACGAGGCGACATGCATGAGAGTCATGCAAAAATCATCTTAATCAAATGAACTGTGACCTAGAATCCAAGGCGCCGGAATTTACTATGTGCTTTAAACCCTGCAGGGCCACGCTGTCCCTGGTTATCTTGGAGATATCTATCTGGGCAGAATATATACTACTTGCCAACCCTGGCATTATGCATATATCCTTCATGACCTGGGGCGGAAAGGTGTTGAAGAATGAGATTGACTGAACAAAATCTGAACGATCATCCTGACGAGCGCGCCCCGAACATACTGTGGAATGAGGAGGTGTAATGACCCAGGTTCATTGCAATACTTCAGCCGGACAAAAGTAACTTAGAAGCGGAAATCATTAGGACTGGAGCAGTATTTATCAAAGTCTACGAAGCAGAAGATGGCTATGCCTTACGAGGTGGTTGTCTAGTTGCCTGGGTCGCATGGGTCGCATTATGTGCGTGAGATGGTTATAGTAGCGGAAGCACAGATCTCCAGTGCTGTGGAGTGTATATTTTGCCAGAGGTTGGCTTTCTGATTGAAATTCAAACTGATGTATAGGCTTAATCTTGTATACAGATAGATATTTTACGAGCCTGAGGTCGGAAGGACCGCGAAGAGCTCAACCGTCAGATGCGGTCATCGGCCTTGTTCAACGTCGCACCGTAGGCGAGATTGGACATAATATCCTCAAGCCACTGTAAGCCACCGGAGTAGTAGTAGATCGGAGAACTTCTTCAGATGCGAACATCCATACCCGACGAGGTGATCGACCACTTCCGCATCGGGACCAGGTTCTTCTGCTGTTATCTTGCACCTAGTCGTCGGATATTGGCAATGCCTCCTCCGAGGACTCTTTGGAATCATCTCTTTGTGTGTATGTGTTAATATTAGTAGTAATAACCATGCTTGTGCTGCACCTTTGAGTGACTCCCACTCAACATCGGCAGATTGATTCCTTTCCCTTGTGCTATGATACTCTCTAGTTCTGGGTGCAGTGCTTTGGAAGGACTTGCTGTCTAGGATAACTGAGACCAAGCAGAACAGTGCATGGAGAATTTCATACTGTCTAATATAATTACTATTTAGGTTAGTTGTATGTCCTCGGCCTGTATAAGAATATGGCTTTTACAATCTTTGGTGGTAGTGTACTCTTTAGTGCTATCTCTGGTTCTGTAACAGGCAGCCACTTTATGCTGGCCTAGTGGCTATGGATGTACTAGAGCGCGGCCATTATACTTACTTATCTAGCTGTCTTTACTGTCTAGTCTATCCCTCCTCAGCTGGTGAGTAGTATGTCTGAAACTCAGATAATTTGCTAGGAAAATATATACCTGGAACTCCCAGGCTGCATTATTATTGTGGCCTCCCTAGTCCTGATAAATTTCACATAGAACTAAGCTGCTGGGGTTGGCTGGTAAAAACTGTATATCTATATATACCTTATCCTGGGATTCCTGTTCGCAGCTACATTCTTCTAGGTAGAACTACATTAGTCTCAAGACCCATCCTACCTCTGGCAGCCTTTAACTAAGATCTTGCCTTTATACTAGGCTGCACTGCCTGCAGCTGGGTGACCTTTAGGATCTGGGTATACTACACTGCTGTATTTATCTTGGAGCTGGACAATATCAGCCGGTACAGCCCAGTGATTCCGTCAGGACTCGCCTCGGCGCTGGCGGTGGGAAAGCTGCTTAGCTACGTCTCGACCGCATGAGTCATGGTCATCGGCATTGTGGTATACCTGATCAAATTGATTCTCATTGCCACTATGCAGATGCACCAGATCTACTAGGGGAATTTCTTCTGGAGCATTCTCATCATCTATGTTAGTATAGACTTATCTTTACCTGCTGCGACAATTATCTTCTCCGGGGTGGTGCTGCCTAAGTATCAGAGTGTGGCCATGACAATTATGAACTATAGTATTTCACTAGGGCTGGGCTTTGCTGGGATGGTAGAGCAGGAGGTTAATCGCAGGGGCTATACCTATGATGATAAGAAAGAAGGGGTATCAGGGCGCATTCTACTTTGAGGTTGGATTGGACGGGTTGGGCTTGATGATGAGTCTGGCCCTTTTGGTCAAGAATCACCTGCGTAAGAAGGCCAAGAAGGCTGCTGCGTATGGTGAGAGTGCTTAAGAAGAGTTCTAGCAAAGGGAAAGTGGAAAGAGGCGCTTATGGTCCGTGTTGGTGCATGTCAGACAGTGAATGAATTAGACCTTTGACTATTGCTAATTCATTACGTTCCTCTTGCTTCATAGTTTTATTTGTTAATGTCTTGACACCTTCCTGCCGTGTATATCTTGAAAGTCCCTATTTCCTGGCGGGAACTCTACTAAACCAAAAAACATTCATATAGTCTCACACTAAAACTGCCAACCATGGACCACCCAGTATAGATAACCAAGTATAGCCAATTGTTGTGTTTAGTTCGACTACAAACCCATCTAGCGGGGACTCTTCCTGCTTAAGGTTAGCGGTGATTTTCTCCCCTCAAAACGAGCATCCACCCCTGGACGGGAAACAATCAGCACATAATACATACAGCGACACGATCAGCATGGTTGAGCCATTCAATGATATCGAGGCATTGGCCCTTATGGAGATTCTTTATGACAAAGCGATTCATTCACCATCGGAGATAACTCAGGAAGAGAAACATGCTATACTGGAATGGCCATCTTTGGAACAAATGGAGGAGACAAGCCAAAAATACGTTGGAAAGTCTTTGCAAGATCTCATTCATACAGCGGTCAACGATCCTCTCGCTCTCACGTATGCGGAATGCCGCTTGATTGATGAGGATTTTCAGATATTCAAAGCTCTTGATGCTTGTAAATATAAAAATGACCGAAGGAAACTCATGATCGAGGATCAGGACTTTTGGAACAAGTGGCAGCAGGCAAGAGCCGCTGTTTTATCACCAGATGAACTCAAGGCTCTTGAGAACGTCCGTGAGGTCTTTCTTGAGAAGGCAAAAGCTTACTCAAACCCCGCTGCAGAGAGATACTGGACTCATCCCCCGGATTGGGTGCAGAGAATCCTTGACCGTGAGGGTAAAGGCTGGGGATATTTGATCTACCGTCCTTCAACCACTCTCGAGGAAGAAGGCACCAAGGAAGCGTGGAGAGCGTGCTGGGACCACTTGATTGAACGGTTGAGGGATTTCCCGCTCATGGTTATTGGCAGCCAAAAGATTCAAGATTCCAAGATCCTTGATTTTGTCGACTATGAAGCGGAAATGGGCGGGGTGGATCAGCTTCGGAGGTACGTACTCTCAAAAATGTTTGATAGTACTCTCTAACTCAGGCTATCAGGGACTTTCGCGACCGTCGTGATCAAGGCGGTCTCAAACCAGGTGTTCTTTCGAATGTATTCATCAATGTGCCCACCGAATGTCGAGATGCCTATCTGCAGCGAGAAGATGGATGTGCTTGGGTTTGGGCTATTGAGCCTGACTGGTCATTACCGGGCCCAGATGCTGATGGCTACGATGGACGCGTTGAGGTTACCTGGAATCAGCTGTTCAACAAATTCTACGATCTGATGTCGACAGAAAAGGTCACCCTGAAGGCCATCTGGGAAGAGTTCCATGAGGTCAACGAGACGCTCCCCGAGCCAGTTCCTGGCTGGGCCTTCCCAAAAGTTCCAAAACGGGTTTGGCCGGATAATTGACCATCATCGTCCTTCTCCTTCTTACGTGCGTTTATAGAATTTGACAGCTGGTATAGACATAACCTAATGCAAGACACGCCGTCCGAATTCTAATGTATTCATATATCTTCTAACCAATTGATGATTGCATGTGCCTCTCAGTTGAGGATTAAAAGAACATGGATGGTGAGATGAACCACTAGTGGTATCTTGCGGAAGTAGACCTGATAACTGGCAGTCACATCTGCCTTGATGATATTGAGAGGGGGTTATTCAGGAAGAGCCAGAGTTGGAATGATTGTTGCATAAGATGCCCAGAACGATTCGAGCATTATACACAGGCAGTATAGATGGCTGGATGTTCATGCGAATTAGGGTTATCTTTCCCGTCTCAACGTGACATCATCCCTTGACTCCTTGATCAACTTCATCACTCCATCCTCCAGACGACAATGGCTAAACGGACACTCGAATCTTTCTACAAACCCATCAGTAAACCAAAGAAACCGCGCATTGAGGACACTCCTCCATCATCCTACTCCCATCATCCCAGCTATCCCTTCCCCATCGCGGATCTTCCCCCGTCCATCGCCAACGCGCTCCCGGATCTCCCAGCCACCACACCTCGCAGCATCACCAACCAGCCGCACCTGGATCTACTCTACTACCAACCTTTTATCCCATCAACCACCGCCCGCGAGCTCTTCCACTTCCTCCGCCGTGAACTCCCCTTCTACCGCGTCCAGTACACCATCCGCCGCGGGCCGACCACCACCCAGATCACCACCCCGCGCTTCACCACCGTCTTTGGCGTCGACGATACCTCCATTTTCACCCCGTCACCAAATACCTCTACCTCCCATCTAGTCGACAGCAAATCCCGCACCCCCATCCCACCCACCAAATACAAATCCACCCCCCGCCCCATCCCTCCCTGCCTCGACGCCCTCCGCCAACGCGTCGAGGCCGCTACCGACGGTGCAGTCTACAACTTCTGCCTGGTAAACTACTACGCAACCGGCGACGACAGTATCTCCTACCACTCAGACGACGAGCGGTTCCTCGGCCCGAAGCCATGCATTGCATCGTTGTCGCTCGGCGCAAAGCGGGATTTCCTCATGAAGCATAAGGCCGCGGAAGGTGTTGAGGCGGCGCCGGTCAAGATGGCCTTGGCAGACGGGGATATGGTTGTTATGCGGGGTGAGACGCAGGCGAACTGGTTGCATTCAATTCCGAAGAGGAGGGGTAGCAGGGGGGAGGCGAGGCTAGGAAGGATTAATATTACGTTTCGGAGGGCGGTGGTGCCTGGTGGGACGGAGAATTATTATAGGTATAATGTGGGGGAGGGAAGGGTTTACAGGTGGAGTGAGGAGGAGGCGAGGATGGTAGAGAGCTGTTGATTGGGAGGATATGTATTGTATAGCACTGACTGTATAGGATTGCCAACAGGGATGTTCACAAGGACCAACCAGCTTATTGCAGCTGCATTGTCAGCTTTATCCAGTCACCCGAAGCAGGGATACGTGGTCAGCATGAATACCCCGCTCAGGCTGACTATATATGTCAGACCTATTCTGGCGATGATAGGGCAGTCAGCATGGCTTCTTCGCTTCCTATCTATTCGCTGCAGGATGTCTCGCGGCACAATACCTCAAAAGACCTGTGGATAATAATCGACAAGGAAGTTTTCGATGTTACAGAATTCCAGGCAGAGCATCCTGGGGGTGAGAGGAGTGAGTTATCTACTGATATAGCAAGAAAGCAGTCTGACAAGACAGTCCTGCAAAAGGTCGCCGGGAAAGATGCAACGGACAAATTCCTCCAGTATCATGACGCATCAATCCTCTCCCGTTATCGAGAGCGCTTGCAAGTGGGAGTCTTGGTGGAGACCAAGGCTCAGGAGCCAAAGAAGGGATTCCTCAGCAGATTCTTTCGCTCATGACCTATGTGCCACCTGTATTTAAACACGGTCTACAACTTCGGCCACAACCCAGCCTCAATATCCTTCTTGCTATCCTCCCTCAACACCCGCTTCAGGATCTTTCCACTGGCAGTCTTCGCAATGGCATCCACAAACTTGACCCCCCCAGTCAGCGCCTTGTACCTCGCCAGCCTCTCCCCAAGATACTTCCTCACATCCTCCTCCGTGAGCTTCTCACCCTCCCCGCCAGGCCGTCTAACCACATACGCCCGCGGGTACTCGGTATCCGCCCCAGGAACTACCACCCCAATCACCGCCGCATCAACAATAAGCGGATGGCCCAGCAGCACAGCCTCCAGCTCCGCCGGCGCAACCTGGAACCCACGGACCTTGATAAGCTCTTTCCGCCGGTCGACAATGTACCATTTACGCGTGCGGCCGTCGCAGTACGCGATATCCCCCGTTTTGAACCAGCCCTCGGCATCGAAGGACTCGGCGTTGGCGGAGTCGTTGCGGAAGTACCCTGGTGTGACGATGGGGCCGCGCACGCACAGCTCGCCGCGGACGCCGAATGCGGAGATGTTGTCCCCGTTTTCGTCGATTAGTCTGGAGAGTTAGTAATGGTCCCATTAGGCAAGGGCAAGCAACTTACTTCGCTTCGACATTCGGGACTAGCCGGCCCACAGACCCCGTGTCGTCGTGCTCTGGGTACGTGAACATTGTCGCGATGGCGGAGGTTTCCGTCATTCCCCAGACCTGGGTGAACGGCGTTCCCTCCTTCAGGAGTGTGCGGAACCGCGTCTGCACCTCTTTATCTAGCGGGGCGGCACCACAGTTGACGTTCTTGATGGAGTGCAGGAATGGCCGGGTCCGCGAGAACGGAGACGTCAGGATGGCAATGGCCATGGGCGGGACGACGGCCAGGTCGGTTGTCTGATATTTCTCATTGGCCACCAGGTAGGTCTCGAGGTCGAAGCGGCGCATCATGTAGACGGTGTGCCCGGCCTTGATGGCGCTGAAGTGTGTTACGATCGCGGCTGCGACGTGGAAGACGGGCATTGCGACGACGCTGGAAACCTGGTATGGTGGGGGATGCACCTCGAAGACCAGCTCATGCTGCGCGATGAGGTTGTGATGCGTGATGGTCACGGCTTTGGGAAGGCCCGTCGTCCCACTGCTGAATAGTCGTGCGGCAGTGGTTTCCTTGGCTCGTTGCAGGTTGTTAAAGGCGAGCCAGTCCTCTTCGCCGTGGTTGAAGAGATCCTTCCATGATCGGTGACCAGCGGGTACTTCCTGTCCCAAGACATCGAAGATGAGCAGGTTCCCTTCGGGGATGCCTCTCTCCTTGACGGCTGCAAGAACAGACGTCAGAATCTCCGGCTCGGAGATGACAAACTTTACGTCTGCCGCCTTGAAATGATGCGCTAGCTCCATCGTCGTGTAGGATGGATTGGTACCGGTGTAGATACCGCCCGTGCCGACGATGGCCAGAACAAGCATGCAATAGTGGATCTATTATGCATTAGCCTTGCAAGGGATATCAGAGGGGTTGTGTACATCGTTGAAAGAGTGGATAGCGATGCAATCGCCTGGTTTGACTCCCCAGGCGCGTAGGCCGGCAATCAACTGGCGGACGATCTTCCGAGCCTGAGCGCAGCTGATTGATCGGGAGGGGTTATTGACATCAATGTAGATCTGTCAGCGTCAGTATTTTGCTTCAGCTTTCATGAGATCGTCTACCGGTCGATTTGCGTCATATGTATTGTCGAAGATGTATGAGATGACATCCACAGAAGGGAGAAGAACGCGCTCCGCCGGTTCAAAGATCATCTTGCCGCGTTGACAGTGTAATTGAAGAATGTAGCTACTGTGGAGTGGTGTGTTGGAGATGAAGTTATTCAAGTCGATCTGTTGTTCAGCGCACGGTTGTTACCCCGCTCCGCCCAGCCCTCAAAGCCTCAACTCCGCAGTGAATAGGTGCCTGAGCAAAGGTGTCATGTGGAACTTGCAGCTTGTGCTCATGCATATTATTCCAATGTAGTAAGCTTGTATTTATACAGATGAACCCGCAGCAGGGTCATCACCTCAAGATTATGTATGTCTAATGCAACAGTCCACTAGTGACCTAGATTACCGTCCCCATTGAGGAACATTCAGCACCATCCCCATGATAATCCCACTAATGAGACCCGCACACGGCAGCGTCAGCACCCAACCAAGGAAGATCTTCGCCAGCTGTTTCCAATTAATACTCTTCAGATCTATGGTCACCAGCGCAACACCCAACACGGCGCCGGTAATGCACTGCGTCGTGGACACAGGCAGACCCAGCCGCAACGCAAGCAGGACTGTAATGGCAGCGCCAAGTTCCATGCTGTACCCGCGGGTAGGAGAATGCTTGGTAATGCGGTTGCCGAGTCTGCGCATGATGTGGTAGCCGAAGGTCCAGAAGCCTAGTTCGTTAGTATAGATACTCACTAGGGAGGAAGAGAGACTTACCAACTCCCAGGCCTAGACCGCCAACGGCTTGATCCAGATCGGGGTATCGGTTTTGGTGGAGGCCACGCCGGTGTGCCAGGTCATGTACTCGGTGGTGAATGGGCCGATGGCATTGGAGATATCGTTGGCGACGTGGGAGATGGACATGATCTGCCGTAGCATTAGAATAGATATTCAGGAGTGTGGCGACTAAACGTACCATAGCAGAGCAAACCTGGGCCGTTGTCCAAAGATGCTCAACCTTGTTATCGAACTGGGGAGCCCGGCGGTGGATATCTTCCAGACCCTTCGACTGGTGGTGGATGACGTCCCGGGTAATACCATAGGTGAAAACAAGCTTGAGGGTCGCGTAGATGCGCTTTGGGTGAGCCCAGGGGAGCGATCCAGAGCCTGGAGCTCCTTCTGGTGCTTCTCCGCGAGCTTCGCGTCGGCGCGCTGGGCTTCGCTCTCGGCGGTGTTGCGGTCACCCTTGATTGGCTCGATTTCCGGGCTGGCGAGGGTGGACTGCTGGCCCTCCGTGACTGAGCCAAGGGTATCGGTGTCGCTCTTTTCATCGGTCGCTTTCAGGTCGCTCTTGTAGTAGTTGGGGACAATGCCCTTGTCGGGGATACCGGGGAAGTAGAGGGTGTAGCCATCGCGCTGGAGGAGAGGGCCTCTGGGGATGTGCCAGAACCGGAGACGACGGTCTTCCTTGACGAGGCTGATAAAAATTAGCAGAACTCTAGATAATCGAGAAGATGACATACCTGCGCCAGTAGTAAGGAACAAAAAAAACAGCGTTGATGACCCAGACACCGGCAAAGACACCAAGGATGATACCGCAACCTTACCAGCACCTAGGTTCTCGAGCTTGGGAACGCCATGTCCACCGCTGATGACGATGAACAAGGCCAGGATTCCAGCAGTAAGAGCATAGTAGAATGGAAGCACGGGCAGAGCCAACTTCATCGGATCCTCGCGCGAGTGCACCAAAAACCGGATACTCATGAAGATAATGGCACTGAATCCAGCCGATATGACGGGCGCAATACCCCAGCAGGCAGCAATCTGGGAGACACTCTGAGACTTCCATCCCCAGTGAACAGGGAGATCCGACGCGATGGCAACACCGATGAGAGCGCCGATAATGGACTGGGTGGTGGAGACGGGGAAACCGAAGTAAGTGCAGACGGTAAGCCAGATCGAGGAGCCTATAACACGTCAGCAACGAAGAGGTATTCAAGCCCGGCAATGAGACACACCAACTTCTGCCGCCACCATGGCCATGATCAGAACTCCGGGCGAGCCGAGGAAGCGGTCGATGGAGAAGGCACCACTGCGGATGGTCGAGGTGACCTGCTGTCCAAAGGCAATGGCGCCGATGAATTCCGTAATGGTTGCGAGGATACCGGCTTGGATCAAGGTCAGAGATCTCGAGCTGACCGACGTCGCGTAAGAGTTGGCCACATCCTATGAGGAAGATGTCAGTCTGGCTCAAACGAGCGAAGTTCCAAGGAAGGAGAACATACATTTAGCACCGATACCCCAGACGGAGATCAAGAGGATGATGGTACCTATGGCAAAAAGCCAGTCAAGCTCGTGATAGACAGCCATGTTGGTACTTTAGACTACAACGTCGAGTCACGACTTGGGTTGATGTAGGACGGTCGACGGGGAAGAGAATGTTGCCGGGGGAGACATCCTTTACACACTCTAGAGGTAATGTCATTCCTGCATTGATCTCGATTTCTAGAAAAAGCCCACGCGAACTCCAAATCCTGGCCATGTGGGAAGAACAGCCAGGGACAGAGCATTACATTAGACAATCTGACGATCAAATCACAGTGCCGCAATGCAAAGGGTGCACTCAGACGCAGTTCCAGTTCCTCGACGAACCATGATCACAATGACTCGAGCACAGGAGTTTGTCACTGTCCAGACACCAAGCGGAGTCTTCGCCAGGAGAAGCTTCCTTGTCGAGGCCCCAGCGCCCGCCAAGTCCGTCCGCCGCGCTTGGCGTAATTTCCCTTCCGTTGCGGAGCTTATCAGGTTGTCAACAACGGAACCGATGTGGGTACAAAAAGTGGACTGCTTGTGTCTAGCAGCGAACGAGATCCAGGCACGCAAGCACGAGTGCTCCTGTCATTTCTTGTATGCTTCCATAAGAAATGACAAGGAAGTTCAAGCAATGCCAACGACGCCTGGCTCGAGAGATTTGCAAGAGTGCTGTCGTGGATGGTCAATGTAGCAAGAGCCCGCGTGTGGTGGCACTTACAGAACGAAATAAGTTCATTATGTGTCTATGACTCGTGTTCCAGTGGATCTCAGGGTACTATTGTAGGTGATCCTGAGTTTGACTACTACCGCATAGGCCGCTTGGTCTGGGAGTGGTTACCTATCTGCCACTTACATCGCAGTTCATGCCATGGCTTGCTATTATTTTGAGATGATTGGTCTCCAGTTCTCGATTCCCTGATGGTCTTTCGCCAGTTTGATAATGAAAAGATTACCGGCATTCTTATCAGAACTTTCATAGCCATAGTTCAAAGTACTCTGTGCTCTGTACTCTGTACTTTTCTGGTGGCAATGGCGAAAGACTCGTCCATACTTTTTTATATTGCCTGAACCAAGGAATGTAGTCTTACTCCTGCTATGAGCTAGTTTGATCTCGAGTTATGAATACACAGTATAACAGACACCAATCAAACTCGTTTGGAAACAGGAGTTATGAATAAGCGAGCAGATCCAGATTTAATGATTCGGACTTGAGCATATCCATGTTTAACTCATACCCAATCCCGTCGCAAATGTACCTTATACATTGGCCATTCTGATTAACAGAAACTTCGTAGCAGGGATGAATCCAAGCCCAGGTGGCGCGCTTCGTCAGAAACATCGGGGAGACCGAATGAACTTGCCCTGGAACCGATGATACATGTACTGACTAGGAAAGGACTGATGAATACATAGAACAAACTGGATCCTACGAGGGTACGTTACGCCAGTTATGTACCTAGACTTAGCCCAACTCTCAGACCGGGCTAGAAGCTCCCTGGAACGGTTCCTCTCGCTCTGCTAAAGATCCGTTCTCAGAACCCTAGGCTGGGCCTTTTGATTAGGAACGGTAAAGCGGTCTCTTGTTTGTTATGCGTGCCATAACTTATCTCAGTTCAACAACATATTAACGCGCATAATGTACCCTTATATTATCTAAAAGCCTTCCCTCTAATCACAACAGTCCTTGGAGGTGGTGCAACGTGCTACTCCGAGCTGAATGCCTAATAATCCCTTCACTGGGTTTGATAGTGGCGCGACACGAGTCAGCTCGATAAAATATCTACTCCAATGAATGATGGGTACGGAATTTGCCCAGATTACCCTTTGCGGTGGCGGCGCACGCCACCTAGATGTATTATCGAGGTCTGACCTAGGTGAAGATAGGTTTGGGACCGGTGATTGGGTCCATAAGCTTTATCAAGCATTGGCTATCTTACTGATGCAATACAGTCTAAATGATTGTATGTGGCTGGCGCTCTGGTTAAGGGCGTGGCTGTTGATTTGACATGGTGGGTAGTAGACAAGCTAACAATGTGCTTTGAGCTGCTACAAAATTATAGTAGATGTTCGACAGAGAATTTCATCATTGTGTTGAATTCTATTCCGATCGTTAGACGTTATGTGGACATCATATGTTGAATCAAAGTCAATAATGTGCGCCGCTGCAATATCAGGACCCATAAAAGTCAAATAACAGACGCCTACTCTAATCTGAACGTCTAAATTCTGTCGTTATGCATCAGTCCACCTACATGATCATAGGAGGCAAATGTATCAAGCATTGCATCAAACTCCATAGAGCCCATCCCTGCCAGTTCTGGTCTATGCGCGAATCCTGTAGTGGGGGTACTCCCCACGAGAAGTCCATATTGCTCGTAAGACTTTGCCTGCGCTTCATGCATCTTCATGTTGAAGTTTTCATCAGTGGGAAAGGAGGATAATTCCCAGGTGGGATCCCTTATAAAAGAGACAGGAATACCCGCACTCAATGAAGAGCTCTCGAGTATCTCAGGTCCGAAGGTCGACACAGTAGAAATGGTTGTGAGACCTGGAGAATCAGGTATAGAATTGGGTCTGGAAAGAGGCATTTGGTTCGGAAAATAGCCACCGTCTAGCGTCTGGATGCTGAGAGCAATGTTGCTACAAAGACCGGCCAAGTAGGCGGTTTTGGACGCACGAGATGCAGGAGACGATTTGGCAGAGAAGAAGCTCGTGTGGGCAGCGAAGGTTGACAGGAGCTCGGCATCGATGCGGTGGTCTTGCTGGTACTCTTTCATGATGGCAACGAAGAGCTCGAGGAACAACGTCGTGGAATAATTCAGGCAGATACTGGGACTAATAAGATAAGATGTCCACTGTTCCCGCGAAAGACATACCTTTGATACAGTGCAAGTTCAACGATGCTATCACCACGGGTATCGCATGTCTCCTGCAATAGCCGAAGGCCGGCCCGCGCATATTCTAAGCGTGAGCATCGGTTGTTGGATGTATGTTCCAACCTTTGAGTCAGGACCCGAAGTGTACATAGTGTGTAGCGCAACTCAGTGAGGCGGAAGGCTTCCTGTGCTGTCATAGTGCTCGCAGGGGAGAGGACATGTTTGTGTTGGATTTCCCAGTCGTCCAAGGTTCGATTGATCTGCTGAGCTTGACGAATAATGTAGTCTCGCCCCTCGCGAGCTGTCCGTGCGGAGTAGAGACGTTGGTAAACGTCTTCTTCGATACGTGCCAGGGAGATGTGTGCAGAACGTTGATCCCGTGGGATATGCTCCGAGTTTGCCGCTGGGAACGGCAGCCCGCAATGATACGATGGAAGAAGGCAAGGCTTGCCGGCCATGAAAGACGCGTGCTTCTATTCCGTAATTAGCAGGGGCAAGGGACGAATCAATTGCCAGGCTTACATCGATGATGAACAACGACCACCACAGGTCTATCTGTTCTGCGTTCTCCGAATCCGAACTGCATTGGTGGAGGCCGATGGATTTGGATAGCTGGCATGCCTGTGCAAAGACTGTCTCGAAGGTCGCAAGAGAAAAGTATTTTAAGGCGATCAATGCCTGAGTACGTTAGTCAATGAGTACCATCAATGAAGAAGGGCTAGCCTACCATGCTCAACAGTGCCTGCACGTTAGCCAACTGCGGTCTCAACAGTCTCTCGAAATTGTTGTACCCTCGTCGATAGTTTAGTAACAAACTTTTGATGAGCTCCTCTTCCAGTATGTTGTGAGCGATCGAGCCAGCTCTAGTCGCTGCACTATATCTTGCATCCAGTGTCTGTAGAAGGATATTGTTGAACGAGATCACCCAGGCAGGGTCCGGACTGTTGATACTGGGTCCATACTGCTCTTCGATTGCTGACGTGACGCTCTGGCGGTCGTAGATGGGCAGAAAGGGACTAAGGCATGCAAAATATGTTTCTAGGCAGGTCTCCAGAAGTGCTCGTGGTGGTAGCGAAGGCAGCAGGCCGTCTGACTCTGGTATCGACAGGACTGGGCTTTCTCTGGTCAATTTCTCAAACAATTCGCTGACTTCTTGAAGCCGTGACTGCAATGAACAAGTCTGGTCTGGTATGAAATCCGGTGAAGCTGGACTATATTGGCTGTCTGGATTCGAGAACGGCAACAGCGATCGCAGTCTATCGCACGCAGCCTGAGCCTCTGTATATAAAGACGCAAGAGGGGTTGATCCAGGGAAGGGGTGGTCATTGCATTGTTCGGGATTCGTTTTTAAAGAAGCATCTCTGAACGTATTTCCGTCTGCACGCGGGCTATCATTGAGGTCGGTATGACTGTCGTCGGGCGGAATAACTGAGCTTTGCCGCGTAGCAGGGTTTGACGGGGTCTGCGAACGCTCTACGGCTGACAAGCAGCGAAGTACGGCCTCTTCAATCTTCCCGAGACGGTTTCCAAGAACTTCAACATCGTTCACCCTATACAGGCACAGAAGATTAGAATAATTCGGGTCAATTAGGCGATACAGAAAACACAGAGACGAACAGTTTCTTGGTGTGATTGACTCGCTTCCCCTTGTTAGAAAACCCACATGCGAGGTTGGATTTGCGACAGCTCGAGCACTTGGGATATTCCTTGTTGCAACGGACCTTCCGGATACGGCACTCATCACATGCCTCCCTGGACCCTGTTAATGGGGGCACGTTCATGACTGTCGTGCCGTGAGATCCTGGTTGACTGGGAACAGGCTTCACCCTGGTCCGCTTCGCTCCTGTCTGGTCCTGTGTACCCATTGTGTAGTACAGAACAAATATGGAATGGACAACTCCACATGCAAAGCAGAAAAGAGGAGAGCACGGTAGTGATAGACTGGGCCCAGAGTCGAAATGATATACACAGCGGACCACGGTATAAATGATCTTGGGGGAGAATCCACCAGAGATACGAGAGGACTCAACAGACACGAAATCAAGGCTGCGGAGCGGCTCGAAGCCTCTGTCAGCACGGGTGATAAGACCCTGATCTTCATTTAGAAGACGACGATCGGTGTATATTCCGTACCGACCGTCCTTGTCCGACTGGGGGAATATCCAGTAACAGTGCAGGGGT